TGTACATTCATATTGATTCTGCAATGGCGTAATATCGGTGTCACAGTCTGTGGATTCACATTGCGTTTGGGGGGTTGCAGAAGCAGCACGGCACAGCAGGAGCTCTGAATACACTAACACCCTTTTCACACATACGGAAATCTCCTGAAAAACTCAGGAGATTATCCGAAGGAGCTGTATGTGTGAACACCAACAGCCCTAGTTTCTCCTGCCATGAAGTGCAACAAAAACTACCTGAAACATGCATCACTGTTTAGCAGTTTTCACATATGCACTCTGGATAATATCTAGATATTTACAGGAGGACTTCTCCGGAGATTCTCCCGACCTAGCCGTTCACATATGCTCCTCACAGCGGGGGACTTTCCCTGTCAGAGGGGAGGGGGGGGGGGGGGGGATTTTCTGAGGTAAGACGTGACGTAAAAAAACGCGGAAGTAGCGGCCGTAGCAACAGAGTCCGCTACACGACGTTATAATGAGAATATTTGACTTTCTATCAATGCTATGTGTAATCCAATGGAATGACAACATCCACAAAAGAGAGGAGAACAACATACTGATGAACAGAAAACATAATGCAACCGTTTCATTAGAGCACGGAGATCTCGCGTGCAGACACTTTAGCCGGTCACTGTATAAACGTCACTCAGGTCCCATTGGCTCGAATTGAAAATCTCCGGAGTATATTCGGCCGCATTCAGACGTCAGCTCACTCGGATATTCTGCGGATAAAATACTAGGGGTCTGGAGGAGAAACTCCGGGTAAAATCCGCACGAAAAATGTGTCTGTTTGCGTTCACACATAGCCTAAAGAACCTCTGGGTAGCCAAATCTCCGGAGTTATTCAGGAGATTTCTGTATGTGTGAAAATCCAGATGTTCTCTTTAACTCACTCTGCTGCTCCCCTCCGGGCTGCCGTAGTTCACATCCTCCCCCCTCATTTGCTCCCTACAGAGTGGCTGGGAGGCCCACAGTGTGCCATCCAGCCACAAGTCTTTGGCTGAAGTCGCTCTGCCTCATCTCTACTTTTGCTGTAACCCTGAAACTGCATAGAGCATCTTTAAAGACAAGTTTACAGCTTGAACTTTGACCCCTAAAGACAAATTCCCCTTACTTTATTAATCGCTTTTTCTTAAATTGACCAATAAAAGCAAAACTTGTTAAAGTCATTTATAGTTATTTTTTATTTCAGGAGGAAAAAAAGATTGGTTAAAATTGTCACTCGAGTTGTGTGTGTAAAAAAAAAAAATGGTACATGTTAAATGTGACCTTATCACCCAGCCCTATGATGAAGCTTTACTCTGATTGGTGTGACCCTGTTCTTAGACTTGAATCCTCATCCCCAGGTAGAAACGTCAACAACACTAAACTCATTTGTATAGCTCATAGCTCTAACACTGCAAAGACGGTAGTCAGTATCTCTCAGTGTCACAAACAAAAGGTCACATTTTTCAAGCAGACAAAAGAAGAGGTGCTGCACCACAAAACAAACCATAACAATAATATTGCTTTGTCCACGTTAGCATGAAAGACTCTGGATGTTCAGAGTGGGCGGAGAGTATTTTGTTTTTTTCACACAGCATACAGGGAGCAAGGTGAGTTTTGTAGAACAAATATGTCAATGCTGAATTCAAATATTCGTCCCCTCCAGTCATCAGGTGATAAATAACAAACAACTGGACCCGACTTACATAACGTCTATGAAGTCACCTGATCACTCCAAGCGACCCATTCACACACTGAAGGCTGAAGCCTTACAGTTATTCATGTGCCCATTCTCACACACAAACATCAATGGCACAGATGGAGGGCAAACATACGATCTACTACGCACATCTTCCTCCTACACCACAGACAAACTCTGCCTCTCAGCGCTTCTCAAACATTATTTTCATAAACAAACTCGTGATGAAAAAAGGATATTCTGTACTCTAACAGTTCCTGCTTCTCTTCATCTCTGCGTTGCTTCTCCACCAAGCACTGTTGCCGGGAGACCTCGTCCAGGAAGCTGGACTCATCCTCGTCCAAGCCTCTCACCATGTTCCCTGTAACCATGGAAACAAACATGCTCTCAACACATGGCAGTAAAGTGATTGCATTAATTTTTTCTGGGGGAAAAAAAAAAACATAACATTTTTTTTCTTCACACAAAAGGGACCTTATATAAAAATCAAAGAGACCTTGATATTTCCACATGCTGAAACTTGTTCATGCTGCCTTCCAGCACTGACACCCTCCACATTTATCTAATTTAATGTTCTCAGATGATTCTGTTCAAAGTGTGAAAATATTGTAAATAAACTAATTGCAGTACACAGCTTTGCATTGTAGAAAAAGAAACCTAATTAACAGAAGAAAAACCATCAGAGACAGATGTACTCAGTCACTGCTGGTGATGAGGTGTAATATTAGAAGGACCGTTGTGAATGGAGCTAACAGCAACACAATGCTCCTGTGGTCATGAAGGCGCTGCTGCAGCAGAACGAGCTCATTTGGAACTTTTTAAAGCAAAACAGAAAATACTGTAACTATGATGAAGACAAAGTGAAATGTAGCAGCATTAGTCAGAAGCTGCAGTGATCCATTCATTAAAGCTTTGGTGAAGAACTGTCGCTTTGTGTCCATTTTGGCGCCCCCCTCTGGACAAAAGCATTGTCTCATCCAAAACAGAAATTTCTGTGCCTGAGACCAACCATATAGCACGTGTCACTCAGGCCCTGGGTTAGCCTAGTGTTTTCTCCAGACAGAGAAGCGCTCGGGAGGGCTTGGCATGAAGCGTTTGTGAGCTGAGAAGTAAAGCGCTGCACAATCCTCACGTCTCTATGACAACAGCCGCTGCATGACCAGGCACCGCTACGTTACTTTTTACTGCATGTTTTGTTTATTTTAGATCCCTTATTTCCTGATCAGACACGGAGCACAGAGGGTGTGGGTACAAGACACGATCTGTAGGCGGCAAAACTACGGGGAACATCACTGGAAAAGAGCGTTGATTTCGTCGACAGCGCCATTCTGAAAAGTTGAAAGATTTTAAAACTTGAGCGCTCAAAGCAGATGCACAAAAAAAGCTGAGCCCTTGGAACAAAAGACACTGGTGGCTGCACATTTTTCTCCAGGCGGCTGCCTGCTGCTGCGAACACTCTCAACTCATTGAAAACAATTTAAAAAAGACAAGGGGCCTCAGTATGTTTGTGTCAAAGACTACAACTAAGGACTTTTTCCCTCTTTATTCAGTTGGTTTTGTAAACACACAATAGAGTTTGAGTTAGTTCTCATTTTTATCATTAACATCGTTTTTATTTTTTTTAGAAAGAATGTTCTTCTGTTGTTTAAGTAAGATCTGTTGTATTTTGACCATGGCTACTGCTTTATTTTGTTATTATTGTGTGTCTTGTCTGGCTCCACACAATGTAATTATGGTCAAGAGCTGTATGAATAAATCAAATGAACATTTTAAATAGTTAAACAGAAATACTTCATCTTGTATCTGATGATCTTGTTCATGAAGAGGTTCAGTATGAATGTCCGTCTGTTCAATGACCAACTACAAAAAACCTGTCTATTGTCATGACAATGTAAAGTAGGACTCCAGGAATTAAGTGTGTATTTGCCTTTCTACTGGTGACTTGCAAAGCAAGATCAATGCAGCAGAAGCTGAGTTTTCCTGACTTTCAGTTTCCAATACAAGTCAGACTTAAAAAATAATGGATTATGCATTGAATGCATTAAAAAATGGAAATGGTAAAAAGTAGTACTCTGTTTCATCACTTTATAATTCATTTGTTAGTGCAAGTACCAGAAGGATGGACAACTACTCCCCAACAGGTTACACTAATTAAATCCTAATAAAGGGACGTAGCTATAGAAGTATAATCAGAAAAACATGACTTATGGTCGGAAGAAGACTTATGACTTATGGTCTTATGGAAGAGAGGAAAACGCTTATCTTAATCTAGATGACAATAACCAGTATAAAACAAAGACCCACTGAATTTGAACTGCTCCTCGTAGTCTTCTTGTTTCTTGTCTTTCTGCTCCTGCAGTCGTTCAAAGAGGGAGCGCGGGTCATATTTCTCCTCTGGGGCCTCTGAGGAGTACGAACACAGATATATTGATGTACACACAGAGGAAGCAGTAAGTATTTAAGGGTTGTGGTGTGTCTTAGATCCTTTTTGACATCTTCTTACCTTCAGGGTCCTCGGGTTTCCGGACTTTCTCCCATTCCTCCTGTCTCTTCTTTCTCTTCTCGTCAAGCTCAGTTTCTGACACAAACTTCCTGCTGAGATCAACGCCTGCTGTCCCGCCCTCTGCCATTATAACTGACCTTCAAACAAACACAGGACACACTCTACTCCATGAGAATGACTCCAAAATGTACACCTTTTTTTTTTTTTTTTACTCAAGATTAGACGATGTAGGGTCTATCTCAGCTTGGCTCATAGAGACTACAAGTTGAAGAACACACAGCAACTCTGAGAAGTTAAGTATTCTGTTGATTTTTAAGTTTTTCCAGTGAACTCCAGCTGAGAAAGAAATCAATCTAATCCATATACACTTTGCCTGTGCCCTGAGCAAACCCTAAAACCACTGCTATTGACATCAGGAAGAAGCTATAAGATACCTTTGAGAATAATCGACCAATACTACCTGAGGAAACAATTCAACACTGCATTTGTATTTGAAGAAAGCAGGTGATTAAAGTTTAAACATGCAGTGTTTCCCCTATAATTATATTAGGGGGGGGTGGGGTGGGGTGTTTTCAAACATAATAGCAACAAAACAGGGCACCTGAAGATTTTTTACACAACAAATGTCAATAAAATGCAGAGTCAAGAATATGACAACATGGTTTTTAAGTTAAACGAAGTTGTGGTGTTATTTGAGAAAGTGTAGAAGAGCATAATATTCTTTTAAAAATGACTCATTGAATTGTATTGTTAATGTTTTGGCGCCCTCTTGTGGTAAAATTGAATTACTGCATCTATTTCACATTCTAGGCAACTTTTAAGTTTTTTAATCTAGACAAAGACAGCTCAGAAAAAAATAAAGGATGCTATAGCTGAGTTGTAATGATGTGTAGACCGAGTTAATACGATTTGAACTTAATATCACCGTTATCTAAATGACGATAACAGTGATAGTGGTTAGCTTTGCACACCATAGGGCTAACTCGGCTCACTATATATTTAACCAACAACATACATGAGAAGGCAATCGAAAGTACAACAGTCAGCCTTTTTAGCGTGCTATTTCCGTTGTTCAGATGCTCTAGTTAAAGCTGGTGTATGGTGTAATGTGACCTGCAACCCGGGGCTAGCGTTAGCTTCATTAGCATTGCAGCAAGCACCGCTGTCATTAACCAAACATCGTGACATGCTCTAAAAGCATCACGTTCGAAAAGAACATCGAGCATACTGCCGTTTCACTTTCTGATTTATTGTCTATATATTGAACAAATTATGTTTCTCTGCAACTTACCAAGCAAGGCTACTAAATATATCCCTGCTCCTACCGATTACCGTTTTGTGTCTCTCTGATAACCGCTCGTCTCTATTGTCGATGTGCAACTTTAGTTCCGCCCTGCTGATCGGCAGCCGGGTCGAGCCACACTCGGTATGAAATATGAAAATAAAACTACCTTGTCCCCGATCGACGAAACGTTATAGGAATAGATGCTCTGATCGCTTTATTATTTAAGGAGTGAGAAATTGGCTTTAAAGGGTTTAATTTTACTCCACGAAATAGCAAATGCCACTTCTGGCTGTAAATCGAATACCAGATTAAATTGAAATGAGAAAAATTGTCATTGATGTAGAATGTATTGCGGGAAAAAAAATCAGCATAAATAATAAACGCCGTAATGTCTTCACAGTAAATATCAGTACCTGCTAATCATCGGGGAATAGTTTAAGTGATTTTTTTTATAACTCATCAGATTTTATTCTATTAGGGAAAACGACTATGCCCATATAAGGGTTGTGGCAGATTTGATTGACAGCTCTGCGCGGTCAGCAGGTCAGGAGGCTAACAGCTTGATCCGTCTGATTTCTCCTCTTTTTTACTTCGTTTGGAGAGTTTGTTTAACACATATCTGACAACATACATGGCTTGCTGTGCGGTTAACAGACCATCCAAGAAGTGGATGCTTCAGTTTTTTTCGGTAAGTGATATAGAAGTGTTATATTTACTACTTACTCAGTGTCGGTATTTATATTTACGGACCTAGCTTGTTTAGAGTTAGCTTGTAAACCAGTCGGCTAACTGTACTCAGTGTAGCTCATTATTTACAATGGTTTAGAAATGTTTGTTGTTGAAAATAATGAGTTTGTGTGATGTTAGAAGCTAAAGGTTCACCTCGGTGGTTATCTGACGTTATGATGAATGTTATACTCCACGTAAATGTGGACATTAAAAAACAAACTTTGTGTAGTAATTATCCGTCAGTAACATAAACTGAACTGAACCTAATGTGCTGTGTAGGTTATAGAGGATGACATTAAAGTTACATGGTTGATGTAGTGTCTTAAGATTTGTGCAAACTGTTAACAAATTAAAAAAAAAAATCACTTTGTAAGAGCATCTGTAACCATTAAGAAATATATTAATAACCATATTAATTTTCACTGAACTCATACACAGAATATAGCAGTAGAAATATAAAATATAAATAACATATGGAAATAAGATAGGTAAAGCACATAGATATAAAGTATAAGAAATAGTTTGAAGAATACAGCCATGTACTGAGCTCATGTTAATAATAAATGAGTTACTGTATGTTCTGTACTAAAGCACAGAGAGTTGGGACCTGTTAATGATTCAAATAATTCAGATTATATTTGTTTCATGTTAAGATGAAGTACTATCCACAATAAACTGCTTAATTTTTCCTCACACAAAATCTGAGACAATTTGATGTGGAATATCATTGTGTGAGTGAGAGAGCTGAAAACAGCATGATTACAATAAGGTTTATCTTCTTAACTTTGAATAGATGTTGATTACCTGAATACTGTACCTTCGTTGTCTGGGTAATACACTGTTGAATTTATAAATGTGCTCTTACACACAGATGAATACAGAAAAATAGATGAGAACAAAAAAAATGATTTAATGAATAACTGATATTTTCTCTCTTTCTTTGCCATCCTGAAGACCCCTCACTAAAAGTCCATGTTCTCCTGGATCCATGTCACATGCTCGAGCTTCTTCAGAATGACTTTTCAACAGTTTGAAGTTCTGCTGAGAGAAGATGGCCAGCAGATAAGACAGCAGTACATCAACGAGCTCCACAGGCTTCAGGAGGAGGAGGAGGGTTTGTACCTTGGAAGACTGTATTCATGCTTCAGCTGTTCAAATAAAACTAGATCTCCTCCAAACAACTTGCAATCAAACCATTTTCTTCCCATTTTAAAACCCTTTGTCCAGTTTAGATGGGAGATGTTGATATTATGTGATATAGATCAGGGAAGACTACATTTCTAAATCATTTTTAACTGTGTTTTTATTCACAAGTTATTGATCTTATTTAATCTCCATGTATCTTGATTTAAGAATGGGGCTGTGTTTAAGGGCATATTTTGCAATGACTCTGTTCCATCCCATTTTAAGAAATGAACTACATTAGTATTTATCAAAAGAATAAAAAGTTGTGTAAAAGTAGACTTCCTTCCCTTAGCTATTGAGTTGAGCATTAATACACATTTTAGTCTTGTCATTTCAAATCTGAAATGTATACTCATAAGTAGACATAAAGGAGTGCATTTATATAGAAATATTTATTTAATCTGAAAAACAACATTAAAAAAGTCTGTCTTTACAGCAGAGATTAACATGTTTACAGCTTGGTACAAAACAAACAAATAGGTGTGATTAGCTCATGTCTCGATGGACACACACTGTACGGGGGGTGAATGTTTTGATGACTCATCAGTTTTGATTTGATGAAGGATAAGAGTTATTCACAATAAGGCGTGTAGCTGACCAGCTTGACAGGTGGGTGCGGTGTAACGGTTTGTCAAGAGGCTTAAAACACGTCTCAGCTCCAGCTCTCAGCCTGTGGGTGTCATCACTCAGGCCATCCGGGGGAGACCTCCCTCACAACGAGCTGTTGAAGAGAAGCAACCGAAAAACCCCAGAAGAACCAACAAATGCAGATGTTGTTGAGGCTCAGGTTTCTTCCTCTGTCTCTGCAGCTCTCTGGGCACCTCGATGGACCAGTCACCAATAATCCACACTGTGTCTATAGGAGAAATACAAAGGTGTTCAATTAATACCTCAGACAAGACAAAATGTACAGTTAACTACATGTGACAGCTCAGGCTGTTTTTTTGTTATGAGCCACGTCTGCAGGAATAATATTGAACAACGTAGCTGCAACTCATCATAATAGATGCCAGTCTTAAACACTATTTTTTCTAATACTAAAGTTTTTGGTGTGAAGCTGACACTGTCCACAGACTCCATGACTTCACAGGGTTCAATAGAAAACAAATGTCTTATAATGAATACTAAATAATTATTTTTCAATTGTCATGTTCACCTCATCGCTGTTGACATCAGTAAATATAAGACACAGACATTCCTCTTTTTGTCAGAACAGTAACATGAACTGTATGCTTTGTAATATTCATTTCTTCTGGATGTCTCAAATATTTATTTACAGTTTATGGATAAAACTTTGTTAATGTATTGCTCTGCTAACACTGACAAAGTCTAACTGCTCTAACAAATAACTCATAAACATAATTGTATATTTAAAAAAGTGTAGTTTTAATACTTTAATTAAATATTTGGGTTGAATATAATTCGTTTTAACTGTGTTGTAGAAAAGTTAAATGTTAACTTACTGTTTATAGAGTTTTCTCAGGATGAGCAGGAATAGGGGATGATAACAGCCTAGCTGTTAGCTATGCTGTGAAGTGGACCGCTAACGTCGAGCTGAATGGGCGGAGTTAAGTCCCGCCGGTCCCGCCTTACTGCTGTCGCTAGGTTGATCCGAAGTTAGGTTGAGATTGCAAATCCAATATGGATGCGGCCGTCGATTGGACTCATTTTCTGCCTATGTCACAGACGGGTCAGGGTTCGTCCAGTAATATTTACAGTCTATGCTCCTAACCTGACCGGACCTGATCCATTGACCAAGCGTGAGCGAGAGTAACGTGCCTGCGCATGCGCGTGTGACTGTGCGGCAAGTTTAAGATGGTATGGTCCACTATAGGGGTGTCTGAAATGATTGGGAAACGTATTTACAGGTCAGAAGCATAGGTCAGAAGGATATATAAATGTTTTGAGTCCCCCGAAATGTTTTTCATTACCTCTTTTTTCGACCTTTTAATTTTCTTTTCTTTTTTTAAGGGGGACAAATCTACCTTTTCTAAATATTGGGGGGGGGGACACATCCCGTGCGATATTACTCAAGGTAAAGGAACAATGTTGTTGTCATTTGGTTTCCCTTTCTCTTTTTCCTGGGTAAAACTCACACACACGCGCACACACACATTATATATATACGGTATATATATATATATATATTTTTATATATAGGCCTATATATATATATATAGGCTATAGAAAGCATAGGGTAAGGCTTCATTTTAATCCACAACCGTTTTTCCCCTATAGCGAATCATCAGTCAGTTTCTTTCAGTGTAGCCTATTTTTTTTAATCTAATAATTTAATTTGTTTGGTGCTAATGTTACGGATGTGGTCAGGGGGGTGAAGAAAACCAGACTTTGACTGTTTTCCAGCTTTTATTTTCTGCAGAAGACAAATGAACATTCAATGTGCCTTCTGGACATTTGTTTTCAGCACCTCTGCTCCCTCAGCAATGCAAAACGGCACTGTCTGAGTTCAAAACACATTTATATTACATAGAAATACATTACAATCATCATTTCAATATTTTAACTATATGTAAATATTTATAACCAAGAGCTGCTACAAATGGCTGAAAAACTTCGGTTTTACAGTGTATATTAACAATAAATCTCATTAAAAAAACATGAGAAACAGTATACCAAATGGTAAAACAGTGACACCTAGTGGACAAAATAAACGACAACATGCGGCTGTAAAACAAAACAGAAAGTATGAAAATACAAGGAAAAACATACCTGCAGAAGACAAAAGAACATTCAATGTGCCTTCTGGACATTTGTTTTCTGCACCTCTGCTCCTACACATGCAAAATAATATTATTTCAACTGAGAATATTTGCGGCACTACGTCAATCACGTGACACAGGCGCTGTAGGATATTACATAATTCGCGCCAAAACCGCTACATTCAAACAGTCTCCAAAGTGATATAAAACTCTCAAAACCTAAACAAAATGACTGACGTATTACTATCAACTTAAATAATAATAATAATATAATAATAATAATAATAATAATAATAATAATAATTACAACTTAAATCACTTATTTTCCACAGTAAATAAGGTAATGATGCAGCAACGTTTTTACATACAACTTACCCTCAGCAATGCAAAACGGCACTGTGAGGGACAGATGGAAGGAGCTCCGGTAACCCAGGAGGTACAGAAGCCGCAAAGTGCCAAAAAGGCCATTCTCAAAGGAAACATAAATTTGATAAAATAACAGTAAATATACATAACTCGTTAAGATAAAATTCACAAATACTTAACAGAAATAAATTATAAATGAAATCTCAAGTATAAATTGTAAACTGTACTCAAAAATAAAGTGCATTTTAACTCTGTTACACTAATGCAATGTTGACCACCACTATAGAGCAGTGTTGAAAATATGTAATAGGCCTACAGACCTTGCATGCTCAAAATCCAATTTGATATAGGCCAGGCTATTCTCCACAAAACTCTTTGGACATTCTTAGGGTTAATATATCTAAGACATTTACTTTGTTAGCCTACTTTTTCATTTCATTGACAATCCAACAAAATAAGGACATGATCTTAAGAAAGCTTGCAAGTTGTGCATAATCATGGACTTAGCCTATAATAAATGAACTAGCCAATAGCAGTGACCGTTCAAACAATGGAAAATATGTGAATGTGGAATTTAGTAGAAAAAAACACAAAATGATCTTCATAGCACAGTAAAAGGAAATGTTTTAAAAATGCAAAGTCTTACGGGGTCGGAAAGCAACAGAAAACTATAATTACACATGTTCTGCTCTTGTTAAAGAGGCAAATAATGGCACATCTAGCTTTCCATACAATCCCCCTTTAAGAACGGTAGACTCCCACCCTCCGAACATAGTTCAACACCACTTGTGTCCCTTTCTCCCCGGAGTCTGACTGTTTGCAGCCGCTGCGCTGCATATCACCTCAAGGTAACGTCATTTATAAACGCTGTTTAAAATCAACTCTTTACAGCTCTTTGGTGTTAGATTATTATATCAAAAGTGAGGTTCTATACTATTTCTTTGGGTTGCATGTCGAATTAAGTGTTGTCATTTGGCTCTCTGAGCCATCTCTTACATAATTAGTCCTGTTATTGTGAACCTCTCAGCGACCTAAAGACCACACATGGACACGACAGGCGACTCTTAAATGAGCTCTTTGCCTGCACCTGCCAAGGTTTCTAAATTCTAGGTTAGGACACAATACTTTAAGGACGAAAACTTGTGCTTCCTCACCTCGGGTCAGAGCAGTGGGCAGCTGAAGCCCCACCCTATAGAATCCGGTGTTTTGTCGAGGGGGCCACAAAGGGGTGATGTGAAGAGACATATCTGTAGTATCCTAACTCCGTTCCTTTAAAAGTTTTGAGGCATTAACGGGCATACTTTATCCTGTGACAATAATGCTAAACCGTCTCCAAGTGAAGGCTGGTATAGTCTAATAGTAAAATTACCATTGATTAATTGCTGCAGCTGTAGTCATTTCTTAAAATTAAGTGTTAGGCCTACATCATGGCATTATTGGCTGTATTCAAATATATATTTGAACAACACTTACGATAAGTTCTTGGCTGAAAGATGTCCTATGTGACTGTTATAGCCTACTTCTAGGTATTAGGCTATATCATAATGAAGGCACAAGTATTAATAAAACGAATGAGTTTGTTTGCTTCAGTTGGTTGAGGTTGAGTATACCTTATTTTAAGTAGCCTACATACTACAGGTTTTGTTCAACCAATAGTAAAAATCTTAAAATACGTTAAAATAATTTAATAATTTGAGGTATGAATCCTTAAATGTGAGAAGCTAGAAACAATACATTGCATAGTTTTGTGAAAATGTGTCTATTATAAATTACTTTTTCAGCTATAGAATACAGAAGCCCTAAGCAGACATGCATCAATACATATTATAAACGTCCTTTTCTCATGATAATGATGAATTGTTTTGTTCTTTGAGATCATGACATAATTCCTTCAATAAATCAGCACTGTTTTATTCATTATAAGGAGGTAATTTCAGTTATTTTTCTTGAGTTCTCAACTTATTTTTCTTGTTATCTGGAGATAACAAAGCTGGTTTTCCCATTACATCTGATTAATGTTGTCATGTTAACAGGAGAAATTTCTGTAAATCTACAAAACAAAACAACAGGCTGGTCAATGTGATTGGCCATGCTGCCATTGCCCACTAATGAGCCTATATGTTTGTTTTGTACTTTTGCAACAACTCTGGGAATATAAATAAATAAGTTGAGAGCTCAAGAAAACAACAGAAAATGACTGGCTATTGCGGGAACATGGAGAAAATAAAATGTATGGATGTATGTCAGCTTCGGGCTACCGTACTTATCAATAGTGATCAATAAACTTTAGTTTTAATGTTTTCTTGTTGTATTGATTGCCTGTTATCATACACTGTTTGATAAATCATTCACAACAAATATTTCTTGTAATCTCCACAACTGTTTTTTTTAAATATTAATTTCTAATGTTTTCAATAACTTCATTTCCTTTAAAAGCAGCAGCCTTCCCAGTGCTCTTAAATATTAATATAAGCAGTGTTGTAGTCGAGTCAACACACCCTCGAGTCTGACTCGAGTCCCAATTCCCCAGCACTCGAGTCTGAGTCGAACCTGAGTCACTGAACAAAACTGTGAAGTGAACGTGTGTGCATAGTCTGCAAGTGAACACACGTGTCAGCCGTCACTCCAGACTGAATAAAACATTATGGTCTTACTAAAAAAATGAACTAAAAATCAGTAGACAAGTCTGAGTCCTCCACTCCATCTTCTGAGTCCTCCACTCCATCTTCTGAGTTAATGCTCAAGTCCAAGTCCAAGTCATCTCTGCACGAGTCTGAGTCAGTGGCATGAAAAGAGACTCAGGTTAAAGCTACAGTAATGTACAATATCAATGTTTCATTAACGTTTTGGTTTTAATTAAAAAAATAGATTTCTCCAACAATATTAAATCAACATGTAAAAAGTAGCTGCAGCTTCATCAAATGCGCTTAATACTCGTAGCATAGTTTCTATATATGACTTTTTGGTAAAACATTTACCCCCGTTTTACCTGCACGTCATTGCGCATGCCTGCACTCTCTCTTGCGCGCGCTCTCTCTCTATCTCGCTCCCCCGCTCGCTCTCTCGCTCGCTCTCATGCACGCAGCAATTTCATGAATAAATGAAAAATTAAATACACACAGGTCGGAAGTATACTTGGGCTCCCAACACAGGTATCGTGTGTGGGAAACAGTGCAATGAGATGAAATTGAAATCACTTTTCTATTTTACAATTGTATTTTATATTGACAAAACATCTCGCGATCGACTGAGAATCAGTCAGCGATCTACCTGTCGATCGCGATCGACTGTTTGGGCACCCCTGCACTAACGTTTGAATTAGCGGTATCAGACTGTGTTTCTTTTACGTGTTTACAACTGAACAAGGCTGGGAGATATTGTGAATATGCACATTAACGTTTGAACAATGTTGAGTTATTGTGAATGCACTACGTATAAAACTACGTTTTGAGAGTTAAGAGAAACGTCAAAGAAATAATTTATTATTTGGGGAAATCGTCTTATGTACTTTTGTTTTTGTAGTTTTATACGTTACGTTTTATACGTATTTATATTTATATATTCACAATATCTCCCAGCCTTGTTCAGTTGTAAACACGTTCTATTCTATGCGCCTTATAATCCGGTGCGCCCTATATATGAAAACAGTTCTAAAATAGGCCATTCATTGAAGGTGCGCCTTATAATCCGGTGCGCCTTATAGTGCGGAAAATACGGTACTACCCACCACCTCTAAACCGTTCAGCCTTCCTTACCATTGTATCAAGGAGGTACATTTCTTCTTTCCTTGTGTGTTAATGACATGTCAACAAACCTATTGTCATGTTGCTTACTGCCACTTTAAGTACAAGTACCTCAGATTTGCATTTTGTTGCAGTATTTGAGTAAATACATGTATTGATATTTTATCACAGGTCCATAAACTAAGCTTCGTATTAGCTTCGTGATAAGGGAAATGATTCAGCAAATGTAAACTGATTGAGTGTATGAGGCAACAGCATGTCAAAGCCTGTGACTCTGAAGGGGTGTGACCGCTTTCCTGTTTGATTGTCCCCTTTACCCCCAATCCAGGGAAGCAAAGTACACCACCAGAGGAGGCTGGGCTTAAAGCTGAGGGACTCTTTTAAAGCAAGTCCCTGAGTCTGCCTCTCGAGTTCAATCCATTCCATTCACCATGTTTGGGACAATCATTCTACTATGGATCTGCGTTGTATTCGTCATCCTTCAACTGAAATCCAGGAGACCCAAGAACTTTCCTCCAGGACCCCCTATCCTGCCCATATTGGGAAACATTTTGAACATAAGCTTGGAGAACCCCCTGAAGGACTTTGAGAGGGTGAGTGAAATGCTGAAGTTGCTGAGGCTGCACGTATGATGTCTGAAAAGTGCTTTAAAGGCAGTAAAAATGTTGAATACCTAAGCTTGTGGTCATCCTTCTGCTTTACCTGGCAGAAATACTATAAAGAGTTACTCTTTATTGTCATGGAACCAGGTACAACAAAATTGCGTATGCTCCTTGCCATAAATGTAACATTAAAAAAAGTGAACAGCGACATTAAGTCTGTAATAAATAAAAACAGCAGAGTAGTAAATGAAGACCCAAGAGCTGCAGTATAGGGAGACCGTTAAATGCAAATGTTTCTTAAAGACTACAAATGGAACCAATCAGCTGTAAGTGTAAAATAATAGGTGTAATGTGCAATGTAAGGACAAGGGTTACTCAACACTGCTACCACTGTTTTCATGTGCTTACATGTTTTGAGGTTCTGAATGAAAGGGCAACCTCCCTTTAAAGAAACAGTGTGCCAGAGGACAAGTCAGGATAAGAATAAGAACTTTTGAACCCATGCTATCGACACAAGGGCTGTGGGAAGAGCCGTAGCTGTTGGTTATTAAAAAAAAAATACCTAGAGCACCATACCTGCTTCACAAAAGTCAAGACCTGGAGGGACTGTTACGATATGACTACATGCCACATATATCATCCATTATACATTATCTTCACTCTGTAAACCCTCAAACAGTTATGGAGCTGCTCCCTTCAGGTGTTTAGACATTTGTAGACCAGCTGCATTATTCAAACATTGTTACGACCCTACGAGCTTGTAGGGGGAAAAAGGAAGGAACATTAAGAACCTGTTGTTTCTGGTAAAGTAATTTATAAACAAATAGCTTAAGTGAAATGGTGCAACCGCATCAATATTGAGGCAAAATTCAAGGGCCAATGAGTGCTGTTTAAATCAATAAATAGAGAGAACAGGAAGAAGACTCTTAACTAGGGCTTTGAATAACTAAATACCTCGCTAATAAAAATAAATAGAAATAAACCTAAATTCCTATTGTGACAAACTAGATTTAAAACCAACAAAAACAGCACTCCTAATCTATTGTCTCTGAAGAAAAAGAACAAACGAGTGTGTGTGAATGTGCACCTCTACAAATCGAACTAATACCTGGCCCGATCTGTTCAGGACGAGTGCCTCCAACAAAGTTAAACAGTTTTTTATGTACAGCAAATCTACGACACAAAACTCGAAATAATGCTTATCTTTCCTAATCAGATTTATCGACGAGAGCCTCTGCTTTGGTGTATCTGTTTTGGACATACTAAAGTGAAAATAAAGCCTTAACTGGACAAAGCAGGCAAATTAGTTCTCTGATTTGATTTTAGTGAATTGCCCTTTAAAGACAAATATCCTTCCAGCAGTTTTTCAAATGCTTACATATTTCAAACACTGACCGTGTTATCTTGTTCTCTCCCAGCTGAGGAAGTCTTATGGAAATGTCTACAGTCTGTACATGGGCCCCAAACCAGCTGTGGTCATCAACGGGATGGAGGCCATGAAGGCGGCTATGGTGTACAAGGCCAATGATTTTGCTGGACGGCCCCAAGATCTGTTCATCAATGAAACTACCCAGAGGAAAGGTAAAGCATACCTGATAAGTCTTTGTGTATTCATGCCTAGATTGAAAATAGATGTGGTAAATGCATGTCTTTGAATAAATTAAGGTGGGAAGTTTAGTCTTGGTGCAGTTAAAATATTTTTACCAACAGGAGAGAAACAAACACCTGGGTTCAAAATGAAGGACAGGACGATTAAGCAGGGAGTAAACCTGGCAGCCCTGCCTCACCATGCACTGAATATTGAAGTTTTAATATACAAGATTGTTCGTTTGATGAGAAACAATCACCATAAAGAGCTTCATCCAAATATTAAAACAAAATGTTTCTGCCTCAAGAAATGCAACGATCAATTTTAGATAGTCTTAAATGATCGTCTCCCATTATGTTTTGAAATCTCTTTGTGTAAAAACAACTCCCTGATTTAGCAACGTGTCAAGAGTGACATCCAATAATTAAGAAAATCCATTGAAGTTCTTCAGAAAGTGAATGATTAGACAGGCTAGAGAGTAGACAAGCTTTTCGAAATGGAAAGTAGGAATCACATTGCAAAGTGATATTTTGACCTGTAAGCTCATACTCTTCACTCATCGTGTCACTGCGACTTTTGTAGGAGTGATTCTGGCAGATTATGGCCCCGGCTGGAAGGAGCATCGTCGCTTTGCTCTGATGACTCTGAGAAACTTTGGTATGGGGAAGAATTCAATGGAAGACAGAATCTATGGAGAGATAAAGTACGTCATAAGGCAACTGGAAACGAGCATTGGTATGTCATCTATGGGTCTACACAATACACCATGTTCAAAAACTCACACAGTTTACACACCACACTGGCAAACCAGGGCGAAATATAAACTTTGATTTGTGATACTGATATCTGAGCAGCGGAGATATCAAACAATTGCATAAATGCTTCAGGAATTTATGAATAACCTCACTTCATTTATTTCTCCTGGCCACTATCGACCACTGCTAACTACGTGCGTTTGTCCTGTTAGGTTAAGGCCATGACTTAAAACTGTTGTGTTCTTAAACTTGGTTGGGCCAAACGTTTGACTATTTTTTATCATTTACAGGCAAACCCTTCAGTCCCCAACTCATGTTTCACAACGCAGCCTCCAACATCATCTGCCAGGTTCTGTTTGGGAGACGCTTCGAGTATGACGACAATTTCATCAAAGTGATTGTTGGCTGCTTCACTGAGAATGCCAAGATAGCCAATGGACCATGGGCTATGGTGAGTTAAAGTGTAGTTGTAAAGGTTTTCATATCCCTTTTTTTTTTTACTTACAGGAGCAATATGTAACTCAGACACCTAGTGTTTAAAATGGGTACTGCAGTTCAAATTCAAAACATTGTAGAGACATGTTCTCCCCCGCCCCCTCCTCCCTAAAGGGTTGCCATATCGTGGACACTGAAGCTTCAGTGTTTAGCCAGCTCTGCATCGATCTGTGAACCTTTCTGTGTTCTAACCTCTCTCCATTTTTCAAAAGCATCTCCAATATTGATCCTAGTTTGAGCACGTTTCTGCTCGTGGAGCTTATTACAAACATGCAGAGGCTTTTTAGGTCGGGTACAATCACTTCTATCTGAACCACTTCTCTTGCCCGCTTCCATCGCTGCAACACCTGTTGGTTTGACCTGATAACGTCTCACATCTCAAACCGAGGGGCGTCCAAAACGGCTGCATGGGGTGCTTTAAAACCGCCTTCCTCCTCTGGTCAAAACAAAAACAGACCATTCATGACCAGTATCGAGATTAGAAGGAGGACATACTGGTTGTGCATTGTTGTCAGAGAGTCCATCGCTTCAAAAAATCATGTATCCTTAATGTCTGATGATATATTATAGTAATTTTATGATTTAAATCAGTAGGTTTCTTACATACAGCTCCTTTAAGTTGATTTTTGCCTTAACATTTCATGCAATCCTTCCCTTAGCATATAACCAGTAGTGTTGTACAGGGCATACACAGGGACACAGCATGTAACTACTTTATTTTTCAGTCTCCCTAGCGTGTCATAGTTTACAACATGCCATTTTTGTTCCTCTCATCTTAATAAAGAACTGGTCCACTCATTGAACAGCTCCACTCTGGAGTTTTACTGTTTGCACAGCTAGAAGCACATGTGGAAGTTTTTTAAGACGAAAAATTTATGTTGGAGATGATGATTTTTTTTTTATTAACTTACAATGTTTTGCTGTTTTTAGAGCTGAGTTTATCTGTTACTTTGTATGATGTTATGATTTGCTGTGGCTCAGTTGGTAGAGTCGGTCATCTCTCAACCAGAAGGTTGGGGTTCGATCCCAAGCTCCTGCAGCTACAGGTCCGATGTGTCCTTGGACAAGACACTTAACCCCAAGAATTTGCATGAATGAATTAGTTACTTCTGATGGTTTCACTTCATAGTAACCTCTGTCATCAGTGTGTGAATGTGTAGGTGTGACATGCGGTGTAAAAACACTTTGAGTAGTCAGAAGACTAGAAAAGAACAATACAAGCTCAAATCCATTTACCATCTCTAAACAATTTGTGCCCAGAAGTTGATACAGACAAACTAATATATCGACTCCTTTTTTGTTTTAACAGCTGTATGACTCTCTTCCCATGATCCGTGGTCTGCCACTGCCCTTCAACAAGGCCTTTAAGAATGTTGAGGTATGTTAATGAGCCCTAATGAGTTATTGTAAGGACAACATAAGACTAAAAAAAGCATATGAAAACACTCTGTGTGTATAGAAAATAAACTCAAATGATGAATGCTTGTTTGGTGTTTGTAGACTTGTCAGAAACTTGCAAAAGGTTTGTTGGTGGAGCACAAGAAGACCAGAGTCCCTGGAGATCCACGAGACTTTGTTGACTGCTACATGGATGAACTTGATAAGGTGTGTTCAGCCCTTAACATATTGATATTTTTTGCCCCTGTTTTGTGAAGCTCCCTCTGTGTGTTAACACACCGTGGTCTCATGCCGTTGCGGATTAAAAAAAAAAAAAAAATCCTTTATTTTAGCAGTGAGGACCCACTGAGACCGAGGTCTCTTTTCCAGGGGTGCCCTGCAGCAATACAATAATTGAATCAGCACAAATATAAACATATTAAAAGTTAACATTAATAGCATCTAGACACTGAAACACACATTCACACATGTAAACCATGTCCATTTGAATTAATTCACATTCTGAAACAGTTGCAATTTCCTTCCTGAGGTAGTTTGGACACTAGATCTTTAAAAACGCTGTTTGAAACAAGAAAGAAGGACGAAATGTACAAAGGCTTAAAGATGGTTTCCAGGTTGGGAAACAATCATTTACAAGATATCAGAGATGCTCACTAACTGTTGAGCACTTAAATTCCTCATTGTCTTGTTTAACTATTTCTTCTTTTGATTTCTGTGAAGTGAATTGCTGTGATTGTGTATGGCTTGCTCTCAGGTTATGTGACCACTGTTGTAATGTTGACAAGTTAGCATTCAAAAGTCAGCTTTTAATCAAATGTTATTGTGACTTTCAAAGTAGAGAAACTGAAGCATCATTCAGCCAAACCTCGAGCAAGTCTTCTTTTTTAAGAAAATTAACTTACTGACTTGTGCGATGTCAATGGAGCTGTATCAAAGTAGCATGTCTTTTAAAGGATAGTGTATGTACGTGTATGTGTGCTCAGTTTTATGTACACTTTATTGCCCCTGTATAATTTGTGTTTGTGGCTCTAAGTAAAGAGTGATTGCATATAATAGCCTCAAACAAGTATTCTGTCTTTAGAGGGGCGAGGATCCTGCTTCATTTTCAGAAGAACAGTTGCGTATGTTCGCTCTTGATCTTCACTTTGCTGGGACTGACACGACCTCCAACACCATACTGACTGGTTTCCTCTACCTTTCAACGTACCCACACATACAAGGTAGGTGAATGTGTTTTCTTGCTTTTCTGGTGCTTCCCAGGAATAGGCCATTTTTTAATGGAAGACGAGTTAAAAAAGTGTGTGCTGAAAAGGCCCATAAGGCTGTGAAAAAGCAACTTTTGAAGAGCAGCTCACCAGCCAACAATATATCTGACGTGTTTCTGCTAATGCGGATAAAACTCTCAGAGACACTGAAAGTTGTGTTCAAGCAGCCTATAATCCTGCAATAAAGGAGGTTTTAGCATGGTCTGTCCCCTCTCACACAGTGTTGCTAAATCCCTTAGTTTGCTGGTATAACACTACTACATAGTCTTTATAAATGTATTGCACTCATTTCTTGTAAATGTATTGTAAAAAATAAACAAAACATCACAGCACAAATTAAATGCAGTTATCAGAAACCAGGATACTAGTATGTATCATGTATACAGGGATATTAAAGGGATACTTCACCTAACATGAATCTGTATTGACAATGGGTCATATATGTAGTAGAAATGTGAAAGACATTTTGAAGTTGGTGCCTTCTTGACTGAGAAAAGGCAGAAAGTGTCTTTTTGGCACATGTGGATGAAAGACACCAAATTCCAGAATGAACAGCACCGCAGGCCACTCCCACTAAGGTCAGGTTTACAGACATATACTTCAACACAAAAGGCCGTTTCATCAACTGATTCCGAGATTTCTTCCAGAAGGAATTAGCATCTTGGAAATTCCTGGCAGAAAGCAGACTATGTCTGGGGAGATTTTTGCATCATCAGAAGCTCCTTTTCAGACTTAGAAATACAAAGATTTCCAAAAAAATTCAAAAATACTACCAGGTTTCTAATGATACAAAGCTTAATGCAAATGAGTGAAGTATGCCTTTAATAACAAGGTTTCTCTGTGTGCATGTAAACACCATTATCCTGTATATGATCAAATCTGGGATAAGGTTCATCCTAATGGTCCATATTTATGCGCACAATGTTTGCTGATAGAAACACATGTTCTGACTGTCACTTCAGTCTACTGAACATACAGCTAAAATATCGGTCATTATGCATACTTCCTCAATGTAGAGCATTTTAGTGTTAAGAATATCAGTACTGGCTCTGATTTTTTGGACCCAAACTTGACCCAGGGCAAAGTGTCTTGTAGCGCAGTGCAGGGGCCTTTCCTAATTTCCTCCAGCTATAGTAGTCATTTTGACGACAGAAAATCACTGTGCAACGATTCAACTTAAACCTAAAGTCTACAGTGCAGTATATTCCTGCTAATTAAGAGGTGCATTAGTAAAATGGTTAAACATAGGCAAGTTCACAATTCGCTAAAAACTCAAGACCAACACCAGGCTCTCTGTCATGAGCTCTCACCCTGATGCGCTGGCTCTCTAAAAATAAAAGCAAAAAATGCAATCGTGAACACTCGCACACTCTCCTTTACATTAATATTAACCCTCAAACATAAATACCATTGCTAATGACCATCAAGCCCACAGATATACATAAGGACTGTTCAGTGTATATTATACACATTGACAAGATAACCAAGGACCCCCACAGCAAAAGTAAGATCTTACGATTTAATGAGTGTGGATTTAATGAACACTCTGATTGTTTCTGATGTTGCAAGAACACTTCAAGGAATTAGAACTTCAATCCAAGCATCAACAGATTAAATACAGTGGTGTGTGTGTGTGTGTGTGTGTGTGTGTGTGTGTGTGTGTGTGTGTGTGTGTGTGTGTGTGTGTGTGTGTGTGTGTGTGTGTGTGTGTGTGTGTGTGTGTGTGTGTGTGTGTGTGTGTGTGTGTGTGTGTGTGTTTGTGTGTGTGTGTGTGCTGTGAGTATCCAGATGCACAATGGAAGGAGAAATGTTACCGGCCAAGCAAATAAAGTGGAACATGAATTAAAATGTGACAGGGTAATAAAGGGTGATGATGGTTATTGAGTAGAGATAATACATCAAAACGAACACAGCTAGACAATCAAAGCAGGTAAACATGAATTAGATTTTTTTTGTACTGAAATGACTTAATGATCAACAGAAGGTACATAAGTAATAAAATAAAAACAACTAATTTAATTTGGATGATTCCACTTTCCAGCAACATGTGAATGACATATTTCTTGATCTCCTTTGTGTTTCTCAGAGCGCTGTCAGCAGGAGATAGACTCCGCTCTGGAGGGGAAGGATCGGGCCAGTTTTGATGACAGACACAACATGCCGTACATGCAGGTAAACAGTCGTTTCACTTACTGTGGTCACAAAGGCCTGAGTAAGTGGTACATGTGATAAAGACAATCGGTTGCCAAAGTGAAGTGATAAATGAATAAATCTGTTAAACACTGTTGAATGGTACTGGAGATTCATCATAATCAGTGCTCTAAAACAACATTCAGTCTTTATCGAGTGATTTTTCAGCAACTGCTTCATTGCAACTTTAATCTTTTAATTATAATTTCAGAACCTGTAAAAATGTATTCTGCCCAAAGTCAGATCAAGTGTAAAAGCTTGAGTTTAACTCTGTCCTTTTTATCCAGGCTGTGATCCATGAAGTGCAGAGGGTAGCCAACACTGTTCCGCTCAGCGTCTTCCACTGTACAACCAAAGACACAGAGCTCATGGGATATTCCCTCCCCAAGGTTAGAAACAACTGGTTTGACCTTATATGCAATTAGAATCTGTTTGAGTTTAATTATCATAAGGGTGCAGTTTAGTGTCTGAAAAGGTAGGTTAGATATTTTACCATTAAATCCTTCTATTATTTATACCACATGATCACAGTAAGTGCACTAACATGACCTTCAATCTGAACCTCCTACATTTATATCCTTTCTTCTTTTGCTCTAATTTCACCTCAGGGAACGCTGGTCATCCCGAACCTGGGCTCAGTGCTGAATGAGGAGGGACAATGGAAATTCCCCAATGAATTCAACCCTGAAAACTTCCTCAACGACAAGAGAGAGTTTTTTAAACCAGAGGCTTTCATGCCATTCTCTGCAGGTATGTGAGCATGAAAAATAACACACAGTTCAGGCTTGTTGTGACACAGCTTCAGTGACGTTCAGAGGCAGAGTGGATTTAATCACACTATTGTTGTATTCTTTTTTTTTAAAAACCACTTCAGGTCCTCGGATGTGTCTCGGAGAGAGTCTGGCTCGTATGGAGCTCTTCCTCATCCTGGTGACGCTGCTGAGGAAGTTTAAGTTCAGCTGGCCTGAGGATGCAGGAGAGCCAAACTACGCTCCAGTCTATGGAGTCACCCTGACTCCCAAACCCTACAACATGATAGTCACACTCAGGGACAGCCAGTAAGGCGATCAACAGGAGACCAACCTGGATTAACACAGACAGCCATTAAAGGGAGCATTCAGACTTTTTGAACTGGGGATATATTGGATACTTATTAGTGACTGTACTACGTTCAGAAGATACAATCAGCACTGATCTTGTTTGGAAAAGCTGGCCAGAGTACTGAGACAGGAAGTTATGTACTGCTGTACACAGGGCATGCAGAAGACACAATAAAGCCACTTAGATAAAGTTTTCCACAAAAAAAGCACAATATTTTTGATTATTTTCAGTGCTTCAAGCGTAAAGATCTTCCTCAGGCTTGGGGAAAAGTTTGTGGACCTTTTCTCTGCAGTTAGTACATTTCTTGTGGAGCTGTATGCATTTTGCCTGGATGTGCGCACAGTAGTTTTCACTATTTTTAGTACCTCACCTTTAAACAAAGTGCCAAAAGGAATGGACCGTCAAATATCAAGGTGAAGTGCTTACATTGATTTGTAGGACTTTTGAAGTAGTTTGAGGCCCGTGTTTCTCATGAACCTGTCTGCTTAGCTTAGCTTAGCTTCTAGGGAGCGTGCCTATGTTCCCACAGCCCTATGTTCCCACATTTCCTTTTTCATAAATTCCTATCAGATTTTATCACGCTTTCTCCCAATTTGGTAGCCAATTACACCCAACCTATTGTCCAGTAGCAATAGCTAAATCTGGTGCGCGAAATAAAATTACTCACTCATTCATTCATTTACTATAAAGTGCTTCCAAAAACATCTTGTGGGAGGATAGGGCTTAAATTGAAGGGAACACAAGACCAATTTTGAAAATGTCCTAGAAATGTGGGAACATACGGTTTAATTTTGAGAAAAATCTTAGAAATGTGGGAACATAGGGCTGACCCCAGTTTGTATGTAGGTTCTCAGGTTGGCTTCTTCAAACATTGACCCCACTGACTGTTGTCTACTATTATACAGTACATTCCCTGTTAATAATGTCCTCATACAACCAAGCTTAAAGAAGCTCTAACCTCATAAAACCCAACTGCAAGGGTGAAACCAAGAAGGGCTTGTTCTATTAACGGCACATAAGAAAACATCGAGAGCCAAAGGTAACTTTAATCTGATGTAATCTTACTCTCGCCCTAGCAAAGAATAAATGGTTGGCTGCTTGTCCCAGCCTTATGACAACATCTTATCTCTTTAGGTTTAACTCCTATACATTCATCTGAATACAGTGACACATTCCAAAAACACAGCAACTATGCTGTCTTTCTGATTCCCACCTCTTTGTCAGTAGATACTAGTTAGAAAGAGCAATAAGATAAAAATGCCTTCACCTATCTCACCTCAAAAAGAGCAAAAGGTTGTAATGTGTTTTTTTTTGTTGTGAATGTAAGAGTTCAGGAGAGTTGTCGATGTCTATTCGATGTTTGGCGACTTTTCAATTTTAACCAACAATATTGAGAAGGCTCTCTTACCAAAGCAATCATAAAAAACACACTCCTCTTTGTGTTATATCACAAGCATATGCCTTCAGCTCATAACAAGCTAATGCCAACAAGCTAACATCATGCTAAGCTAAGCTAGGCTTTGTGTGGCCAGAACTCGCAACATGCTGCTAAAAAATCAGAACAAAATCCACTAAGTCTCCTCAGCTACCTCATGCTAACAACAACATGACATGCAGTTGGGTAAACAACATCACCAACATTATGTTTTGAAGATTCTGATGGTACCATCTTTAACTCTTTCATAGTCCTTTAATTGAATTCCTTTTAGTGTGACAAGGAAAAAAATACCTGATAGACACTAACAACACTGACACCAACACTACTGCTACCTTACCAAGCCTCTAAAATAACATCACCTCTGGAACAGTTTTTTAGTTAAGTTTTTAAGGGCACACTCACTTTGAGTGTGGATTGACCCTGCTGACCTTTCCAATCAGAGGTGTTTATGTAATGGATATAAGATTGTGCACTAAGTTAAATTAATAATACATGTTAAAACTAGTGTCTTTCTAAAATGTTGTATATCCTTTAAAAACGCTAAAAAGCTAGTAATAATTTAATGTTAATTCATGCTGCTAAGTTTAAGTTTAAAAGCATATCGGTAATTGATTGGTTTGGTCTTAAGCTTTTGTTATTGTTTTACACTTCCGGTTTTACGCCAGCAGGGGGAGCGTGTTGTCTGAGCCTCATTCATTACACCATTGAATGAAAGCCAGCAACAACGTGTTTGTTTGTTTCTTCTTTATTTCTCCCCTTACAGGTAAGAATACTGGTTAAAAGTGAATAAAACCAAGTATAAATGTGTTGTAAGTTTCCGGGAACAAGTTAGTGATATGTTTTCTGTATACAAAGTAATTTCAGTATGTTTATGAAGCAGTTTAAGCATGAATGTGTTTGCCGTGATGCGTGCATGCTAGCTTGAATCACACAGACAGAGCGCAATGGAGACACGTGTAGTGCGTCTACTGAGAGTGTGTTATTTAAGTTATATCGGTCAGTTGAACAATTACAGTTACATGGTACAGTTTAAAGAAATATCACTCTGCAAGTGTGTATGTGTATAACTACTAAAGCAACTAAGAAAGGGTTAAATGTGTTTACATAAAATAAGCAGTAGATCATACAGTATTGAGAAATACTAGCCTGTTATATGACATGTAAAGGTATTAAACAGTGCATGTATGTTCATCTAAGTGTATAATACTGTCCAATGATAATATGATGTGTTATTGCATATTATTCATTACACCATTAAATGAAAGCCAGCAACAACGTGTTTCTTTCTTTCTTCTTTATTTTTCCCCTTACAGTACGCTGTACAGGGGTGTAACATTTACATTGGACCATTGGAAGGTCCAAAAACAATGAAACAACCTCAGCAAATAGACAATAGATAAACACAAGTTGTATACATGTAAAATTCAAAAATAAATATAATGTAATTTGCATTTAAATAGGCATATTAATGCTGTAGAGTAGCTGCTTATGAATATAAGGATGTATTACACTGCCTGGATTATTGCACTAGAATAAATGCAATTACCGCTATGGGATGATTTGCGAAATGTGCAACTGTTATATCTTTTTTATGTTGAGCTATAATGTGGTTTTAAAGTACTGTGTATGTCATTAAGTAGATAAACAGTATGTTTGTTTCATGCTTGTGTACTCTGAGACTGTCGGCCCAGGAAAAGAAAACAGCATCAGTTTTATTTACATAACTTCAAGTCCCAAATGATAAACCTTCAAGTCCCAAATGACAAATCTTCAAGTCCCAAATGACAAATCTTCAAGTCCCAAATGACAAATCTTCAAGTCCCAAATGACATATCTTCAAGTCCCAAATGACAAAGCCAAAGGCATTATGACAGGAGAAATGGAAGAATCAAGGTTTGATGTTTTTGAGTGAGACAGCAGTCTTCATGAGTCATTACCCTTTTCAAGGGATACACAATTATTTTCTGATATCAAAACCTTTTATAACTTTCAACACAGTTTTCTGCTCATTTGTGTACAGATTATTTACATGGATTTATTTCATCCTAATTACAAGAACCATTAAGTTTTACCGCTTCTGAAATCAACATTTAATCACGCCTACTTCCATTGAGGTGGCCAATAGCTTCGTAATTATGACATCATCTCATCAGCTTGTCATTTGGGCAGAGATGTCCACGTGGGCCAAATGCAGATTTATTCAAGGCCTTTATTAGAAAAAGAGCCCGAATAATTGAAATATTTCCCAGCAGGAATGTGTGATGGTTAAACAAGAAACAGATTGAGAGGGTCATTGAGTAGATTGGGTGGGTTGGATCACAAAACACTGTTATGTGTATAGAAGGAAAACTACTACAGAGTAGTAAGGCCATGTCGGAGAAATGTTTTCTTAGATGAAAGTCGTTAATTTACAAAAATAAAGGCGTTCATTTTGGATTTAAAATTTGTGAATTTATTTAAATTTGGCTATGTTTAGAATTATCATTCTGAAAGGTTGTATCAGAAGAGCAGCTCTCAAAGTGGTTTCTCCAGAGAGACAACTTCCCTCCAAGTCAGCGCGGTCTCTCTTTCTCTGGAAATGCCCCAGTTTGTTTCTGTTTCTTTTCAGGGTCCTGATACTCGTCATGACAATGTGAAGCTGATGTGCTAAAAGATGAAGTATTTCCGCATTTGTGAAACCTTTACTGAAGTATAACTTCACAAGATACTCCACGTTCCTCATTTTCGTGCAGGCGGCTGCTCCTCTGATATAACTATAGATTAAAAATAAAGACTTTATTCTTGTAACTTTATGACTTTAATCTCAAAGTCTCAGATTTATCCCGCCTTATTGTGGCCCTAATTCTCCTTTGTACAAAACAAGGGATGAACAATTTTTTTTTTGTTCTTAAATTTGGATAAGTGTCATGCTTTTGTGTACTTACTACATACATTTGTATTCAAATAATAATATTCAGTATGCATGCCAACCACATGTTATGTATTTAATGTAACTCATTTATTTAAGGATATGTAATGGCATTTAATGGATTTTTCTGGGGGGTTAATATGAGGAACTTGTATTTTTTTTTAAGTCTGGTGTAACATTCCTTTTCTAATTGTATTAATTGAGTTGAACTCCAATGTTTCCCGTCTATTTGTGTGTCTCATAATAACATATTTAAAAAGTGAAAAACGGTGTCAAGAAAATCACTCAAACTTAATGAAAGATGGTGCAGTTTGGACCTCAGTTGTTTAAAAACGTGACAGAACAAAGATAAAGAAAATGTGTTTGAAAAGTACTTTATGGACTTTCAACACTATTTTCAAGTCACTCACTCACAACCCAATGAACAGCTCTGCCGACCCACCAGTTGAGAACCACTGGTTTAGGACATTTAACCAGCTGTCAAGAGGTGTTAAACATTATAAACTTACTTCTGTGTAGTGAAATGTTAAAGTGCATTTACCCCAAAGAATCTACAAAAGCCTTGTATCATTTCCAGGTAGTTGAACCTAAGTAGTTCTCCTTACTGTCTTTACAATTGTAATCTTCTTTTACTTCTTAATGTTGTCTTATCTCTTACCATTCTTTTAAAACTATGAAACTATCCTCAATTTCGGTATGTTGCTTTTATCCAGCTCTTATTCCCTTTTTGTTGTTTGTACTTTCTCTTTAATTACAGTAAGTTACTGTTTTATTTCCTTTAACCGCTCTTAAGGCACTTATTAATATTTATGTTCTAAGTTAGTATTCTTTTTTATCTTACTAACTTTGTCTATTTTTATTATCATTACTATTATATGTATCATATATTTACTGGTTTCTTTTGTCTTTTGGTTATCTTATGATGGTTCTTATGATGGTTCTCTTACGATGGTTCTTATGATGGTTCTGATGATGGTTCTTATGATGGTTCTCTTACGATGGTTCTTATGATGGTTCTGATGATGGTTCTTATGGGGTTTCTTATGAAGGCTCTTATGATGGTTCTTATGATGGTTCTTATGATGGTTCTGATGATGGTTCTTATGATGGCTTTTATGATGGTTCTTATGATGGTTCTGATGATGGTTCTTATGATGGCTTTTATGATGGTTCTTATGATGGTTTTTATAATGGTTCTTATGATGGTTCTTATGGTGGTTCTTATGGTGGTTTTTATGATGGTTCTTATGGTGGATCTTATGGTGATTCTTATGATGGTTCTCTTATGATGGTTCCTATGATAGTTCTTATGGTAGTTTTTATGATGGTTCCTATGATAGTTCTTATGACGGTTCTTTTGATGGTTCTTATGATGGTTCTTATGATGGTTATGATGGTTCTTATGATGGTTCTGATGATGGTTCTTATGATGGTTCTTATGATGGTGGTTCTTATTATGGTTCTTATGAAGGTTCACATGATGCTTCTTATTATGGCTTTTATAATTGTTCTCTTATAATGGTCCTTATGATGGTTCTGATGATGGTTCCTATGGTGGTTCTTATGATAGTTATGATGGTTCTTTTGATGGTTCTTATGATGGTTCTGATGATGGTTCTTTTGATGGTTCTGATGATGGTTCTTATGACGGTTCTTATGATGGTTCTGATGATGGTTCTTTTGATGGTTCTTATGATGGTTCTGATGATGGTTCTTTTGATGGTTCTGATGATGGTTCTTATGATGGTTCTTATGATGGTTCTGATGATGGTTCTGATGATGGTTCTTATGATGGTTCTGATGATGGTTCTTATGATGGTTCTTATGATGGTTCTTGTGATGTTCTGATGATGGTTCTGATGATGGTTCTTATGATGGTTGGGTTAAACATGATTGTTAAGTATTTTGCTGTATGGGTTCTTTGCTGTTGGATTGTCTTTTATTGTTCTGGTCATTTTGCATTGTCTTTATTCTTGCCGTTGTGTTTGCTCTTCTGTGTTTGGTTTCTTTTGCTTTGTTCTTTTTTATGCCTTTGCTGTCAGTCAGAGCACGTTGCTAACCCGTGTTTTTAAAGGTGCTTTATAAATAAAGTTATTATTGCTATTAGTATGTTTCCATTTCATTCTATGTACTATATACGACCTTTCTTACAGAATCACTCACTTGATACTTTATGTAGTTGGATTTAAATGCAAAATCTGGGATGGCATTATAAATGATGTCACTTTTTATATGCTTCTACACCCAACATGATATAATATAAAGCTCAAACCAGATCACTGATTACAATCACAAGTGGTTACTGAATAAAATAAATGTTTTTCCACTTAGGGCTTCTGTACATTCTGCTGCAAAATGGCACTCTTACTTTAATATTGAGACGTTTTTTAATTTACATATGGCTGTAATTTTTCTCAAGTAAGATTTTGAAAGCTGACGTCTTGTTGTAGATGAGTGAAAGGTCTGCTTGAGTAAAATATCTGAATATCTCTTGAACAGACTGATGGTCCGTTGATCAGCATTGATTAACCTGTAATGTTATCTGTCCAGTGGCTACCTGGGTAACCCCCTACATACTAAAAAACAAACCTTTACATTGGTAGAGACTGTAATGTGTCTGTAAGTGTCTAAAATAGTTAAAACTTGGAGGAGTGGATGATTTGAGTTGCTGTAGAGTTACTTTACAAACAATTTTCAATATCCACTCCATAACAACATCTAGTTCTTAGAAATAATAAGTGAGCTGTCTTTTTTAAGCTGCACTGTTCAGTTACACCAGCAGCCTTTTGATGGAGGGACAGTGGTGCATTATTGAAGCCTTTGTGTTGATGCCGTATTGTTTTACTGGGCGGTCTCCTGATTGTGAGCAGGAGGCCGGGGGTATGGAGGGGTGGGCTTGAATGTGTGAATGTGTGTGTGCTGACGTGGACCTTCTGCGATGATTTTCGTTCGGATGACCGGTGTGGCAGGGATCGCAGAAAGAGGAGAGCAAAAGCAAAGAAGACACTGAAAGAGTCACAAAGACAGACTAAAGAAGGATCTATTGAAAAAGAAAGGTTCAAAACAAGAAACAGCAAAGTTTAAAAAAAACAAAGTGGACATCAGAGACAAGGTGAGATTGAGTCGACAAGGAAGCACAGGAACAGTTTGACCCACTGAAATGGAATCAAACAAACTGAGACAAACTTGGGATTATCAGTAACACATCATCTGAGCCGGACTTTCTCAGACATGGTCTAACCTGGGAGTTTGCACATTTACACACGCACACACTTTCTACACACTTACTCACACACACACATTCACGCACGCACACACACACACACACACACACACACACTCAAACATACAAATACACGCGCGCGCACACACACACACACACATCTGGCACATCTGGTTTCCTGTTCTGAGCAGTCTTGGCAGTGGATAGGAGTCAGAATGCAGGAGTCTCCAGGTGCCATGGGAGTAGATGGCAGCTACGCCAGCAACGTTCCAGCCTTTCTCACCAAGCTGTGGACTCTGGTGGAGGATCCAGACACCAACCACCTCATCTGCTGGAGTGCTGTGAGTCTTCTATGCTGAACATTACACCATAGTATCTCTGAGAGGATGTTAGTTTTTACAAACATGTTCCAGTTTCATGTTTTATCTTCCTTGATTGAGGAAACTATTTTCATTAAATTTGCAGAAATTTTAATATAACCATGATTGAAGAAAGAGTTGTAACAAGGCATTAAAGAAATCAAAGTCTCACAAATGAATTTCATGACTTCAACTCAACTTTATTTGTAAAGTGCTGAACATCGTATAAAAAAACAAAGCATAGGAAAGTAACAGACAAGAACATCAACAATTAAAATGAAAGAACAGGTGACAATTATGTACAGCGTAACACAAAATGTACAGAGCTATGGATCTTTGAGTTTGAAGGGTTATTGAAAATTAACTTAGAACTAGAAGTAGAAATGTGTTTTGAGTTGAGTCTTAAAAATAGCAATAGAGGGTGAAAACGGATGTTTTCAGTTAAAGAGTTCCACAATGTTGGTCTCGCAGTAGAAAAAGCCCGATTATCACATTTGTTTCAAGGACTTATCAGGACATACACAAGTTTCAGCAAGATAATGCACATGACACACTTTGTAGGAATTGTAAACTTAAATAGGATGTCTAAAAATAGAATACATTTGAAGCTACAGCATTTTAACTTTACTGCCTAGCAATGATTGTTTATGTGCTGCATGGGCTCAAAGAACATGCAAACTAACCACACTTTCTGCCAGTTAGCCTAGCTAACAGTTAGCCGCACAAACGTTCAGGCCTGTTTGGCTGCTTTCTTAACATGTGTACATGCGTAAGAAAAGTGACCTAGTATTAACTCAGCACTAGCAGTAGTTCTAATCTGTGTTTTATAATATATTTTGACATGAATGTATTTACATTTTGATTTAAGATAAATTAAGGACCTAGAGGAGAATAAGAGGAAAAAAGATGCTGTTTTAGAAACCCAAGATTATCTTGCCTGGTTATTTTGATTGTTTTACAGTTTTATCTTAAGTGTTGAAAGAGTGATGAAATAAATTCTCTGATTATTATATATGTAGAACTAAAAAGGCATACTGAATAAGTACTCCTTTATAGGTAGAAAGCTTGATGTGAAAGTCCTTCAAAAGTTGTGTATTATAAGATGGATGAAGGATGTTTTCTTCTTTCTTTTCTTTTTCTACATTTTACGATTATTTTTATTTATGAAATGTACAGTTCATACAAATAGAAAATTAAAATTAAACTTTTAAATGAAAACTTAGCATGGCGCATATAAGGTAGAGGTAAGCAAAAGCATATTAAATTAAAAATTCATGTTTGATAACTTCCTGATTTACAATCAATAAGCAGTAATTAGGAGGGGATTAAGGGCTCTTAGTTAATGTTAACCTATAGACTATGGTCATATGGAGTAAGGTACTTATAAGCAGGCAGTATGCTACTAATTAGTGGTGGTTTAATGGTGAATATTGTGACCTTAATTTCAAGTGTTACTTTATACTGTATATATATAATATGTGTGCATATAGGTACACTCACCGATATACATGTGCCCACATGTCTACCTCACATGTAAGGATCAGACGTGTGGGTTGAAGAACCCTACAGTGTTCATAAGATGTGGTCAAATGTTTAATAATATCTATTTGTTTGATAAAAGACAGGGCAGGCCTGTAACTTACGATATATTTAATGATGTGGTTATAATTTTCCTTTAATAAAATGAAGATTCTTGAAGAATATAGATTAGCATTCAGAAAATATTGCCCTGACTGTTGTAAAAATTCCTTTCCACCTTTATTAGGGCACTATGGCAGTAATACATCAAGGTAAACCTCGCTTTTATTACTATAATGAAAAGTCAGTAAAGTACATTATAGTTTCCAACTTCAGGGTCAGCCGCCTCTCTGAAGGGTCCCCAAATAATGCAGAGTAACAACAAGGATAACAGTTTGCTTCACAACCTGCAACAATACCTGCATCAAACTTCTTCTTTTTAAAATTTTTTGTTAATCTATTAGGTAATATAGAGTAAGGTACTCATAAGCTCTTAATAATGACTAATAAACAAATTATTGCTACTAATTAGCATGCTTATAAACAATTAAATTGATCCCTCACACTATGATTTTTAAGGTGAATTTTGTCCAGATGATAGAAAACAAAGAGCACATGTTTCTTTTTAAAGTGTTTTTCAGTTTGGGAATCTGTATTGCAGGATTTACTGATTGTAACACAAAGACGAGGGAGCAGGCAGCTTTTCTATTCTTCTTTATAAGATAACAAACACGGAGACAGATGCTGTCCAGTCCCATGACACCTACGGAAAGAGTGTGCAGCATCAGCTGTTGCATTGTCAGACAATTAGTTGGAAACGTTAGCATCACATAATTCAAGGAAATAACAACATCTGATTGGATTGAAGCTATTTTCTATACATTTCACACCTGTTGTGTAAAGGCTTTGTAACCTCCATATCCTTAAAACTCACAAAATACTGCTTTACAGAGTTAAACAAACCTTTTTGCAGATGCTTAGTAATACATTCGTTTCAGGACAGGCATTACTCATCATTCATGATGAGGGAGAGAGAGAGAGAGAGAGAGAGAGAGAGAGAGAGAGAGAGAGAGAGAGTCTGTTTGGATGACTGAGCTGAACTTGGCTGCTGCTGAACAGATCATGTGTTTCAGGGAGAATCATCTTACCAATCAGCTATAATCATGAAGTGAACATGTGAAAGTTTAAAACAGTGATGAAGAACATTATCTCTGAAGAACTGCCTCTAACAGCAGTTATAGAAAAGCATGAAAAGAGTTGTTTCATTTTCAGCCCTCATACCCTGAAACATAATGTACACCAGTGTTCAAAGAGGGTCGAAGTTCAATGAATGAATAAATTAATATTTTATTTTCGTGTCAGGTCATTTGCAAGAGTTCATACAATAATATCAAACAGCACAAACATCCGAAAAGTTGAGTACTGGGTGCTGGATAAAAAATATCCAAAGACAGAGAAAGACTAAGTCCGCACACCATGATGTCTGATGAATGGCGAGGGCCCGAAACGTTATAAGTGGTGATAATTCCCCATTAAAATTGAATTGGAGCAGCTTCTGGTGTACGGCTTTAGTCATTCCCAGGTCATTAACAACACCAATCCCACATGGAATTATTCTGACACAAGCTGGGAGTCAATCAAATGTTTCAGCATGTCATTTGGCTAACATCACAACAGCATCACTGACATGAACTATCCCCAAAATAATACATATTAAATAAGTTACCAAAGAGCTCACAGGAATAATGAAGTGGAAAAATGATAAATACATTAATTCAAATTTGTGTATAATAATATGTAATATGGAAATTGTGCACATAGACAAACAAGAAAAACTCCAAGGCACTCTATTTCAACCAGCTAAAATGTGTTTTTTTCCAGCGTAGTAACGTGGACGTTAAAAACAAACTGATGCAGTTCACATATCTTATATGTCTTCTTACTGCTGAATGTTGAATTCTAAGATAATTAGTTTCTGTGTCTGTACCTTTAAATATGTAAATGAGCTGACCACGCCCCTCTATAAGGGCTTGGGTGGTTTTGGCTTTTTGTACCATGTCCTATTGTTTGCAGTGAGAAGGCAGACTCAGAGGGCAGAACAAACACCTAGCTGTGGGAGTGTCACCCACATGGGGGAGGGGTTACTGCCCTTTGTGATGTCATGAAGGGAAAATCTCCAAACGGCCTGTTTGAGCACACATTTTCTGAAAAGTGGAGCAGGGAAAAGACGGAGAGGATGGACTTTTCTCATAATTTGGTTGACAGACTAGGGACAAATGTTACTGTTAGAAAAATATGGTGAAGTGAATTTTGCCTAATATGTGACCTTTAACAAGAGTTTCCCTGTTCTCCATTTCAGACTGGCACAAGCTTTCATGTGTTTGACCAGGGACGCTTCGCCAAGGAAGTCCTGCCGAAGTATTTTAAACACAATAATATGGCAAGCTTTGTCCGACAGCTAAACATGTGTGAGTACTCTCTTCATTTCTCTTCCCTTGTTGCCCTTACAAAGTGTTCATGTTGTTATATCAAACATCGCACAAAAAGTAAGGAAATTTGTGTTTGGTAGATTATTTCTTTGTTGTAACAATGCTTCTTTGCAATAAATATTATACCGTTGGAAAGCCTGTTTATTTCCCCTTAAATTGTGCCACATTTGTAAGGAACATACATTTGTGGGATAAGCAGCAGAGCTGAGTATGTGGGTTGCGCCCATGAAAAACCCAGGTGCTGCCAATCAGGTGCGTGATTGGCAGCACCTGTGAGCATGGGCCCTGTTACAGTTGTCAGTTGGTGTCTGCTCCAAGCATGCCATGTTTGACTGATCTGGATAAGGCCCGTGCCATAGGGCTACTTCAAGCTGGTGTTCTGCACAACCAAGTTGCAGCATTATTTGGAGTGAGCCCTAGTACCATCTCCAAACTGAAGGCCAAGTTCCATATAACAGGGGATGTCAGAGACAGGCTGTGAAGTGGGCGTCCCAAGAAGATGACACTCCAAGAAGACCGGTTCTTAACCCTGTCAGCACCTAGGAACCATAGGCAGTCTTCTACAGATTTGCAGTCAAGGTTTGCAGGACGATATGGCCAAAGGCTCTCTACCCAGACAATCTGGAACAGACTGCACGCAGCCAATCTCCGGTCTCATAGGGCCTGCCATGACTGCCCTTCACCGTCAGGCCCGTTTGCGCTGGTGACGGCAACACGTGCACTGGAACCTGAACATGTGGAGGGAGGTTTTGTTCAGCGACCAGGCCAGATTATGCCTACGGCAGTTGGATCTTGGAAGCAGTGTGATGTTGTGGGGTGGCATTTCCCTCACTGGAAAAACAAGGCTTGTCATCATTGGAGGCAATCTCAATTTCACCAAACTCTGTCCTCCAAGATGACAACGCTATGTCATCTTGGACATAGCGTGCCATGCCACAGCAGTGTGTGACCAGGCTGGTGACCAGCATGAGGAGGGGGTGCCAGGCTGTTGTAGTTGTGTATGGTTCTTCCACATGCTGCTGTTTTTTAAATGAACGAATGAATGATGTTAAATTGCCAATATGTCTCGTTTCTTCAGACTTAAATCATCCAATCCACTTAAGCACCAAACAAGAGTCAACAGTAAAATAAGCTGTTTGGCATTGGCAGAGAAGATTTGGCAAGTTTTTCATAGGCGCAACCCACATACTCAGCAGTTTGGTAGAATAATCTACCAAACACAAATTTCCTTACTTTTTCTGTGATGTTTATATCTGTGTGTGTCTAGATGGATTTCGTAAAGTGGTGAACATTGAGCAGAGCGGTCTGGTGAAGCCGGAGAGAGACGACACAGAGTTCCAACATCTGTACTTCCTCCAGGGACATGAACACATGCTGGAACACATCAAGAGGAAGGTATGAACACAAAAACCAGGCAACTAGTACACAACCATGAATCACAAAGTTCTGCATGTGTCAACCTTTAGACCCTTAGAGCAAAAATGTTTAGGCTGAACTGCAGAGATGAATTGTTTTGTGTTCTCAAGCAACACTGGTATCAATGCATCATATTGCTACCAGACCAAAGTGAAAACAAGCTCTGATGTTTATCTGAATCACGGACAGCTCTCTAAACACTCTGGCTGCTGTAGTCTTAGGTGGAGAGATGTCAAAGATGACAGACGATTTACTTCAGCCCATCGAACTTAACTTAATTTTACTTATCTGTTAAATAGGGATTTAAGCCATTAACAATGTGGATACAGAACAAGAGAATTTAAGGTAGAGGGCCGTAGTCATTTATTTTTTGAAGCACATCATTTTACAAGTTCCCTGTCGAATTGTTGGAACAGTTGATTAAAGTGCAGAACAGAAACTACAAACAGAACTTTGCAAAAACAAAGAAATGAACTCCATTAAAGAATGTAAACTTTGAAAGACTACAATGTTTATTTCCATGGATATCCAGACTGTATCTTCATGTAAAATAATCTCTACAGTTTTCTCTGACAGGTTTTTTGGCAAACTTTGGCAAAACTTCCACTCAGAGGAAGGAGTGAGGATGTTAAAACAAGGTCACCGTCTTAGTGGATAAAGTATGCTGATGAGCATCAAAGCACTAGTAACACATGTGATGCAGATAGGAAACATTAGTTACACTGGTTATTGCTCAAAATGAATAGATGGAAAGTGGGAGGAGAGGGTTTAGCATATTCCTGGAAAATTCAAAGAACTGAGACATTTCATTCAATAGCACAAATATCAACCTCATGGTGGTGCTAAAAAAAACAAGTCAATCAGCTTCTTTTGAGAATTCATCCTCTTTTTTCACGTGTTAAAAATTGTGTCGAAGAATCCGACCGCTGTTTAGACCAAAGTTGACTGACCAGAACTGGGATCCAGAGAGCCAATAACAACACTTCAGAAATATAACATTTGTTTGCATATACTTCAGTAACTGAAACAGGCTGTGCGCTCTGTGTTCAGGTATCCATCGTGAAGAGTGAGGAGACCAAAGTCCGTCAGGAGGACCTCAGCAAACTGCTGTATGAAGTCCAGCTCCTCCGAACCCAACAGGACAACATGGAGTGTCAGATGCAGGACATGAAACAGTGAATAGAAACGTTTTTGTGTGTGTGTGTGTGTGTGTGTGTGTGTGTGTGTGTGTGTGTGTCATGGCCTAACAAGACCATAGCCCTCTGACAAAGTCCTTACCCCTCTGCTACCGTTGATACGTACACACGCAGGGTAAGAGTTCAAAGTTCACCTCATTTCCACATTCTGTAATCTAGCCAACATCTACCAAGTAAGTCAGAGGAAAACTGTTTTGTTAGAGAGGTTACGTTTTTGCCTCATAAAAGAGCCTTTGAGTAGTTTCTAGGTGGTAATAAAACAGATTACCACTGTAACTTTTGCTGCTTTGCTAAAGTGCTCATGATGGATAGGCCGGGTCTTTGTAACATAACAATGAGTAAGGTCTTTTACCTGCTTTTTGTAACATAACAATGAGTAAGGTCTTTTACCTGCTCTTTTCTAACATAACAATGAGTAAGGTCTTTTACCTGCTCTTTTCTAACATAACAATAAGTAAGGTCTTTTACCTGCTTTTTGTAAAGTGTCTCGATAACACTTGTTATCGCCATACAAATAAAAATTGATTGATTGATTGATTGATTGTGATTAATAATGACACCTTTATAAAAGCAAAGAAGACCATCAGAGGCAAGAATGACTATGCTATGTAGATGTTTTAAATGCCTGTTAACCTGCCGCATGGAAGGTGTCAGACAGCGTGCAGCTGATAGAAAGTAAAAAATATGTTTCCATGCCAAAGATTGATTGTGAGGGGAACAGTAGACATTTGAAATAAATAGTTTGTACACTCTGTAAACACTACTTACACAGGTACAAGACAGTTAAATCCTCCTGCTTTGTCCAAAGGCGTCGCCAAAATCGTCACAAACTGAAAATTCCTCACAGGAGCTTTAGATGCTAACGTTTGAAGGGGATAGTTCAGTATTTTTGAAGTGGGGTTGTATGTATGAGGTACTTGTCAATAGTAAGTCTAATAGCCACTAGAGATGTTGGTCAGCGTAGTGAGACAATGGGCACAGAAGCTAGGCTATAGTAGTATAACTGAGCTGAATAACAACGTCAGGGAAAATGTATGCTATACTTGAAAAGTTCACAGCGCTTTACTTTTCCCTTTGTTCAAGCAGTGCTTCTGCCAGCAGCGGAGGTATGTTCTCAACCAATACCAGATCCATTGAAATCACATGAGGAGCAAAATCAATCAATCAATCAATCAATCAATCAATTTTTATTTGTATAGCGTCAACTCATAACAATAGTTATCTCGAGACACTTTACAAAAAGCAGGTAAAATACCTTACTCTTTGTCTGTTAACATTACAAAAGAGCAGGTAAAAAGACCTTACTCATTGTTATGTTACAAAAAGCAGGTAAAAGACCTTACTTATTGCTATGTTACAAAGATCCGGCCTATCCATCATGAGCACTTTTAGCAAAGCAGCAAAAGTTACAGTGGTAAGAAAAAACTGCCTTATTAAAAGGCAGAAATCTTCGGCCGGATCCCCGGCTCATGACGAAACAGCCTTCACAGGCCTAGACTACGCCAAGTTTGGAAAGGGATAGGGGGAGAGATGGGATAAGATGCAGGAAGAGGGATAGGGAGCAAGGGGGTGGGGGGAGGCAAACCGTCCATCAACAATCCGGTGGGGAGGGGGGTTGTTCTGGCAGGCCGTCCATCAACAATCCGGTGGGGAGGGGGTGTGGGGGGGGGCTGTTCTGGCAGGCCGTCAACCAATGATCTCGAGGAGCCTAAGAGAGCTCAAGAGCTCCCAGGAAAGTAGGTGGGTTAGTGACTGAGATTTACAGATAGATACATGCAGTAATATGATGTACCGTATATGCACAGAGAGAGAGAGAAAGAGAGAGAGAGAGAGAGAGGAGCTCAAGGTGCCAGTTCCCCCGGTAGTCTAAGCCTATAGCAGCATAACTAAGAGCTGGTCTACACCAGCGACAGCCCTAACTATAAGATTTATCAAAAAGGAAAGTTTTAAGTCTATTTTGAAAAATACAGACTGTGTCTGCCTCCCGGACCCCGGCTGGAAGACGATTCCAAAGGAGAGGAGCCCGATAACTGAAGGCTTTACCTCCCATAGTACACTTAGAGACTGTAGGTACCACTAGCAGGCCTGCATTCTGGGACCGTAATGTTCTCGAGGGGCAGTACGGCACTAGTAGCTCCTTAAGAGAAGATGGTGCCTGGCCATTTAGAGCCTTGTAAGTGAGAAGAAGGATCTTGAATTTTATTCTAGACTGTATAGGGAGCCAGTGCAGAGAAGCCAACACAGGAGTAATGTGGTCCCTTTTCCAAGTTCTAGTCAGTACACGAGCTGCAGCGTTCTGGACTAGTTGAAGAGTCTTTAGAGACTTACCAGAGCACCCTGACAAAAGAGAGTTACAATAATCCAATCTGGAGGTAACAAATGCATGAACTAGTTTTTCTGCATCATTTTGCAACAGGATGTTCCTGATCTTGGATATATTACAAAGGTGAAAATAGGCTGTTCTTGAAATTTGCCTAATGTAAGAGCTAAAGGACATATCTTGATCAAATAGAACTCCTAGATTCCTAACAGTGGTGCTAGATGCCAGGCTGATGTCATTACGGACAGTCAAATCACTAGAAAAAGTCTCTCTGAGGTTTTTAGGGCCTAGCACAATAACTTCAGTCTTGTCTGAGTTAAGTAGCAAAACATTTCTGGTCATCCAGGTCCTAACGTCCTTAAGGCACGTTTCTAGCTGACATAACTGACTGGTGCCATCGGGCTTCATTGATACATAAAGCTGAGTATCATCTGCATAACAATGAAACTGTATGGAGTGTTTCCTCATAATATTTCCCAGAGGAAGCATATATAATGTAAAAAGAATTGGTCCAAGCACTGAACCTTGTGGGACTCCATGGCAAACTTTGGTGTGCATAGAGGACTCATCATTAACATGTACAAAACAAGAAATACAGCTGCTGTTAGCAACTTTCAGTTTGTTTAGATTTTTGTGAATATTTGTCTGTTACAGTCATGAAAAAATAAAATATAAAAAAAGGACGATCTTTTCACCGATGAGCCATCACAATTTCATTTTAGTCCATTTGTAAACCCTTGCTGGAGCAGCAGTAGCTCGGTCTGTAGGGACTTGAGTTTGGAACTGGAAGGCTGTAAATTCAAGTCCAGGTACAGACCAAAGTATGAAATCTGGCCTGGTTAGTGGAGAGGTGCCAGTTCACTTCCTAAGCTGCCCTTATTTTAAACCAAGAACGGTCAAGACCACCACTGACAGGCTATTTTTCCAGGTCATCCCTGTGATTAGAAGTCTCTTTCTAAAACAACATATAACATATAACTTTATTTGTAAAGTAAACGTACCTGGTACGTACTCAGTCTTGCCCTGCCTTGGTCTTGGTCTTGGACCCCTAAATGTCTTGGTCTCTGAGCACTCTGGTCTCAGGTATGTCTTGGTCTCGGTTACTTGTCTGTTTTCTGTCTGAATTATTGTTTTATGGGAACAAGACAGCAAAAGACTGAAACACACAGAATGTATGTAGGTGATATTTTAAAGTTGTAAAAAGTCAAAGTATTTAGGAAACTAACCTCAAAAACTCAGAAACTTAAATGTGAATTTGTCCACTTGAATGCATATTCTAAAGGCAAAATGTAACAATGTTATTCCTCTTGCTAAGTTGGAACAAATCCCCCGGCCTAGCTTTTGAACTGACTTTTTTCTCTGGAGGCCATTGTTGCTGAAAATAGCTGCTGAGTGTCATTGTGTGCAGGAGCTGCTTTGTGCTCAGTATTGTTGCCTAATGAGAGGAGAGAATGTTCACCTGCTCACCTGACTGACACACACACACACACACACACACAGGCACATCAATAAAGCCGTTTTGCTTGGAAAGGATGACCACATGTGAGGGGCATGAAAAAAAAGGTTACAAGATAGTTGGCACACATTAACCAGTCCCTCACTTTATTTCACTCTTGGACACTCGCCACCCATCGTCGTGCGCGTTCTGCCCGCTCGCCTCATAGACTGTAAATATTACGTTCACCTGCCTGGGAGCTGGAGTCTGACGTCACTTTCCTGCGCTGTCCACTTTGTCATTTCGTTTTCGAGTTGCTTTGAATTATGATCACTTTTTAGCACGGCAAGTTCGAAAACGAAAAGCCAAAGACCTTTTCGTTTTCATTTGAATGATGTCATACAATATGCATACATAGAGAGTAAAAATATAATGCAAATTAGATAAATTAATCATCATTTTATTTTTGAGTCAAATAATACACTCATATTCTGAAAATTGAAAAGCATTTCTGTTAATGCAAATTAGCTTTATCATTTGAATTCTGATCACTAATCGCTTCCATACTCTGGTGACTTGGCAAGGTAAATTAAAGCTCTTTGGGGTAACTTTCTGTTTGTGTCGATTTTGGTTCCCATCTGTGGACAGCGCAGTTCATCTCTCTTTTGCTGATCTTGCCCTGTACATGTGCTTTTTAACAAAAAAATCAAATTCTGTTTACCTTTTCTACCAATAGGAGTTTCAAGTCGATGTCATAATACAACATGCGTCCCTCCCATGTCCAAAGATGACCCCGGTTTTCCAGCTTTCAGAACTCTGTGTTTGGAAGCCGGCCTTGTGCTCATGGCTTTACAGGACTAGCCAGTTAGCCCGTTAGCACTAACCACACTTTGACCCCACACTTTGAACCCCTCATTGTTTATTTTTACTGATGACAATATAACCAAAGCCTGTTTCTTCAGTGTGCACATCTACAACCTGCCCCGGATACCTACTTTCATAAAAAATAACTTTTACTAATACTACTAAATCTTGTCCCTGATTGTCTTTTATGTTTGTAGCTTGTAAAGAGGCATCAGTATTCATTTCAACCTTTCCAACTCCTCACAGGAGCTTCAAGGAATCATTTAGAGTGAAATTATCAAAAAGCCCAAATAACTGATATTTTTCAACCAATCAAATTTATTCAGTGAAAAGTTGTGCAATTTAAACCTCACACTTTACAAAACAAACATGGTTATAAAGTGCTTTATAGACAGAATTTGTCCTGGCACGCATTTGCGACCAACTGAAAATGGCTTAGTGGGTCCCGACAAAACAAAGTGAACTGAAGACTGCATGTTTGAATAATCAAAAACTCTGTGTATCGTGAATTTAATCACAAGAAAACTCAGCTTAAAATGGACCCCAGAGATTCTGATGCCTGCCTGCTAGGCAAGCTACCATTTGGGTATTTTTTTCTTTTAATTTAACACTTCCTCTTTTTTACTCTCCACCTCTTTGCAGGCAGAATGAAGTTCTGTGGAGAGAGGTGGTCTCACTGAGACAGAACCACACGCAGCAGCAGAAAGTCATGAACAAGGTCAGTCTTCATATTTGTATGTGTGTGTAAGAATGTGTGTGTCTGGGCATGTTTCCTTCAATATTGCACAGACTATGCTTCTACTCTCTATTAAAAGGGGAGTAACCCATATTGCGTAAACCTTTTTCCATAAACCATAACTATATGTGCTTCTGTAGCTAAAACAACCAGCCAGAGGTCTACAGATATGTACAAATTCATTCACACATAACATTTTTTGTTGCATCATGAGACCCTGTTTCTAATTAAGTGAATTTTTTTCCCCACACAAATAGGATCCATATTATTCTCATGTGCTCCTTTGAAACATACACAAAACACCTGAAAACTTCCAGAAATGATTCCCAAATGGGCTCAATCAGTGTTAGATAATAAGGCACATTTACTAAATAACTGTTCTTTAGTGCAGTACTTAAGTACTTAGTTTATGATTCAGTGCCATAATAATTCACATTTCAGCAAAGAATATTCTTCTTAATCACCCTCCTACTAAAGTTACAAGTTGAATTTGAAATTTAAAACAGACAACTCATCATCATCATCATCAACCGTTATTTAAATGTTGAAAATTATTGAGGTTTCAGTCTTTTACAAAGATGTTGAGATATAGAAATGCACAATTACCACAACTGAAACTAATTTTAAGTTTTTTAAACACACTGAGGCTTCAGTTGATCGTTTTCTTGTAAACTTTAGTTTTGTTTTAATTTCAGTTGATGACAATGTTTTTGTTGATCTAGTTCTGATTGTTTCATTCATTCATGAACAATAGTAACCATGGTAACAAGAAGGCAGCTCATGCTGGTGTTTGAACTTGTCCTGCAACAACATCAGCCTCAGCTGGTCACACAAAGTACGAATTATAATCGTGCAGACCTAGAATACCTTCTTTCATTACCTTGAAAGCAGCCTAGTCCTATGTCACTGCAGGAGATCATACTGGATCGGCCATTAAGGCACCAAACAACAATCACATGTCAGAGTGTTTGTAGTCTGGAAACTCTGACAGGATATTAGATCCACAAAGGAATGAACAAATATATATATATATATATATATATATATATATATATATATACCCTAAACACTTTAAATTGTTGTCTTGAAACTATGATCAGAAATTATGGGGCTTCCATGTTTTTTCCATTCTTGGTGGGTGGGTGGGTGGGTGTGTGTGTGTGTGTGTGTGTGTGTGTGTGTGTGTGTGCGTGCGTGCGCACGGGGAGGATGCTGATTCATGCTGTGCTTATTCTCTCTTTGCCAGCTGATCCAATTTCTGTTCAGCCAGATGCAGTCCAACACACCCAGCACTGTTGGCCTAAAGAGAAAGCTGTGAGTACACACACACACACACACACACACACACACACACACACACACACACACACACACACACACATACACAAACAAAAATGCACATACACACACACAGCAGGGCAATCAACAAAAGTGACACAAACAGGGGCAGAGGGAAGGGCTGGCTCAGCTGACAAACTGAACAATCTAACTCAACACGCGCTGTGAATGGAGACAAGTGCTGAATCAGTCACTCAGACACAAACACACACACACACACACACACACACACACACACACACACACACACACAAACACACACACACACATTCACGCCCAGTGAAGGCAGAGTGGAGTGCATGACCCTGCTACAGCCTGTGTGTTTAAAATGCTGGTTCAGCTTTGCTGCTGAGTGTGAACAAGGCCGACATGAGAAAGGAGAGGCATGCTGGAACACAAAGTGCTGTAGAAAGTGTATTTCAGGGTCAGTGTGCTTCCTGGAAAAGTTGCAATTTTGCCCCATGTTTAAATCATGGTCATGTATTACCTTTAGGCTTTAACAGTGAATGTCCACCATCTGTGTTTATAATGATACGTCCAACTCACGATGTGATCATATTATGATATGAGTTTACCTGAATACTCCAAGATTTTTATAGAGAAGTGAGACTGAAGTACGATTCTGTCTATTCAATACTCTGATATCCTTGAAAAAGAAACAATCCTTACAAATTGAAGTAATACATTTTAATTTTAAAGTTACATAGATAAAAATAAATCTATTTTTTTTGGTATAAAAAGTGACATTGATCACATGTTACAAACTGACCTTTTGGACGGTTGATTTTAAAATTTAAAAAAAGGATTTTAAAACAAAGCCCAAATCAAATAAAAGCAGGTTTAGCACAAATCTTTTTGAATAAACGGACTCTGACTAAGACCATGCTTGGGCTTAGAAGTGTTTAGAGCTGAAAGCTAACATCAGCGGGGCGTACTAACAAAGTCACAATTACATTGTTAGCAGTTTGTCTAACACAAGCATGCTAATATTTGCCTATAAGAAAATCAGAAAAGCCATTCCAGGACTTGCACTAGGTCAGGATGGCAGAAAAGAAAGATGAAAAAAACGAGGAGCTGGCTCAGGCATTTTACCCCAACAACAACTTGTTGTTGAGAATAACAATGTAGGCGTTGATGACCTTTAATAAAAGCTGTAATGTCAAATAGACAGTCAGAGTCAACTGCTGTCAAAGATTGACAGCAGTGATATCAATAAGAATGAGGTAGATACTGTCAGGTAAGTGTAGCAAACTAGATTATAAAGACCTTTTTGATTTAATTAAACAAACACAATCAACAGGCTGCAATCAACCTGAACAGATGTTGGGCAAATTAAGATTCCATCTGTAATAGTTTTTCCCCATGAATGCTAGTAATTGATGTTTTGCTGTCCTTGACTTTGTAGCTGACATGAAGTGTAACTGATGGAAAAACAAATGTTCCCTCCAGGCCCTTGATGTTGGACGATGGCTCTCCCAGTCCTCCTGCCTCTAAATTCAGCCATAGTCACCCAATGGAGGCCATGCACGAGACCTTCTACATCCAGTCGGTGAGAAAATCTGACATGACAAAAACACAATGTATGTAACACAGCCAACTGTTTCTCCAAATCCACCCCATGACAAGCTGTCATCTTCACCAGTGGATGTGCAGCCAGTAATGGCACACACAAGCATGAAGGGCTGAGCAGCAGCAGCAGAGTAGTTTTTATTGCACTTGATTGGCCAGGACATGCGTTTATTTATTTTTTTACAATTGGTTTGACATTGCGTAATAAATCTCAGCGCTAACATTACCCACATAACAACTGTTACGTTTCTGCAGGTCGCGTGATCTGAAGGACACAGGTCACGGACAGGGAAACTAACAAAAAGAAAATTGCACCTTCATAAAACAACAAAAATAAGGCATTTGGCCTTAGGTGGAGTGGAGTTATAAGGCTCCACAGCCACCCACTACTTCTACTAAAAGACAGTAGACGAACTAAAGAAATTGGGCTCAAATAAAAGTGGAGTCTGATCAACCCTCTCAAAAAACCTCTTTCCTACACACACACACACACACACACACACACACACACACACACACACACTCTTATAAAACTCGAACTCTTTAGGCTTGTTAGAAGCACTGGAGGTCACAAGCTACCTTAAATGAGAAAATCTCAAAAACAGTTAGAAGGTAACCTCTGATACTTTCAGAGAGTTGCTATTGTAAACACAAGATTATAGATAACATAGTTAGAACTTAGAAGTGTTTTATGGATTTGAGTTTCCAGAGACTTTAAGTTCAGTATGCAGGTATGAAACTATTAGAAAAAAAATAATTCCACAAATGATTTTCCTGCAATAGTATCAGGGCTCATTGCCTCTCTCAGTGATGTGTCATGGTTGGAGCTGTACTAAGTAAACTACTGAGCTGCTGACCTTTCACACTCAGCACAGACAGTGCTGGCAGCCCCGAGCCAAAACACATCAACTTTAAAGTTACTGCCTGGCCTTCCTGAGTTCTTGGCCACGTTGAGATTTACAATTAATCTTTGAACCAGTTGATTTAATACACAATCATTTTTTATAAGTCAACACTTTCTACTGCAAATCAATACCTTTATGTCAGATTAAATCTACATTTCTAGTGTACTTAAAATGTCGCTAGTCCAATATGTCAAAGTTAATATATTATCTAAACATAAGTCATTTTAACCTGCTGCCACCAGTCCTACCGGTATGTTTTACTACCACTAGAGGGAGGCAGCTTGCAATGATTTGAAGGATGATTTGCTGCCCAAGAGCATCCATTATTAGAGGCAGGACCTAAAGCACTGGATTGAGCTGATTTCATTGATTTGATGTTATAATTTAATATAGAATATGACCGACATGATCCTTGATATAAATGTGGAAACTAGACCCTTCTGTGTCAGCTCCAAAGAAGCCAATGGTGGTAGTGTAGCCTATCTTCAAGTCAAGTTCCTATGAGAAGAAGATATAGAAGATATCCTTTATTCATCCTGCAAGGGGAAAATTAATTTTACATCTGTTGTTGAACATGCTTCACACTCATAGGCACACAAACAGGATCCTATAGAAATACACTAATGGAGAGATCTCAGAGTGAGGGGGCCTCCTGAGCTTTTGTGGGGGTTCGGTACCTCGACAATGCTCAACTACCAGACCGATTTCAAGACTTGATCCTCATCAGGACTTGAACTCGCGACCATCCAGTTCCCAACCCAAGTCCCTATGATATTAAAAAAGTAGTTTGTTTAGGAATGAATGAATATTTTGTTTCTTTATGGTTTCATAGTTATTTAGATTCCTCTGTCAACTGTTTACTATATAAACATTTAAAAAACAAAGTTTTACATTCAACTGTACTCATATGCTGAGATAGAAATTTCTGCGTTAATCAGCTGAATGAGACTATTTGACCCCCATTGAATGCATACATATTCCTTTTTTCTAATTTGGTTTAATTTCAGTTCATTTATTTATTAAAATTCCCATTAGCCACATCATCATTTAGTTAACAACAACAAGATGTGGTTTAAACTCATACATATTTTTCTTCACTAGGGAGAGCTAGTGAGCAAAAAAAACATTTATCTTTTGCTTTCTCTCCAGCTTGTTTACGATTGTCACATTCCTTGGGCTGTGTAGTTGTCTGTTTCTGTGTGAGAGAGTGCTCTAGGGGTTTTAAAGCCCAGATAAGACCAAGCTAAGGTGCAGTTATTCCCGCACTCTGGATTATGTTTTACATAATATTACTTTGACTTTGGCTCCATGTTGACGTTAGTACAACTTCCATATTAACTCTTAATGGAACTACATTTCTGGAAAACATGTTCATATGGGATTTTTCCTCCCAAAGGTCACATTTTTGGTTTGATTTTTGACCGATATCTTTAAAATGAGAGACTCTTACATATCATTTAGGGAGTTATTAATAACAGAGAGCATTTTTACAACAAAAGAAGATTTTGTTCACACTAGTCTTCTCTTCCTCTTCGATAGCCATCCAGTGACACTGCTTCCTGCTCTACCAGCGGGCTGACAGGAGGACCTATCATATCAGACGTTACTGACATGTCTCAGGCCAGCATGGCCCTCCAAATGCAACCTGATGAGACCAGGTGAGGGATAACAATCAAGGCTCCTGTTATTAACAAGTCATTTATCATCAAAACAACATCTGCAGCATCTGACAACCACACAAGTATCCCCATGACATTTCAAATATGTCAAACACATTTGGAAACTGAACACAAAGTGGTGTATAGTATAGTATGATGATATGAGATATGAGAGTGAGTGCACAAAACTGATCCTGTTTGCCTCACTTGTAGTGCTCTCTGCCTGAACACCTTGTCGGTTTAACTTCTTTTAATTCTCATTTTGTGACTGCACCTTTAGGGAGAAGTGCATGATGCTCATCAAAGAGGAGCCTGTGAGTCCAGGAGTGAGAGGAGCAGGGAAAGGAGGCGCAGTGGGGGGAGGCGAGGCTGTAGCACTGACCTCATCCTGTGAGGTGTGCTCCTCTGAACCTCCAGTCCTACCTGTCGCAATGGTCCAGTCAGTTCTGGAGGGGAGGGGCTCTGTGGTGGAGAGGAGGAGTAAGAGACCTGCTCTGGAAAGGTGGGTGCCAACATCAAACCACAGGTGGACACAGACTTCTGAAGAGACACAAAAGCTGCACTGGATTAAAGTGACCCTGTGTTTATTTACTATTATTATTGTATATGTTTGTGTGTGAAGAGTGGAGGTTTCAGATGCAGTGGAGAATGTGGATATGAGCCTGGAGGAGCTCCAGCAGCTGCTGCTCAGGAGCCATCAGCAGAATGCTGTGGAAGCTGGGTCCAGTGCTGTTATGGATGTGAGGAGATTTGCAGTTTACACAAACACACACCAGTATAGTGCATACAAACTTGAATAAAGCTAATATTTCAAATTCTAAACCTGTAGATGTATCACAGCACACAGTAGCCAATAACTTCAACTATTTATTGTCCTGTCCAGTCATTCTTTCTGATTCTTTGTTTCTCTCTCCTTCTCTTCCTGTAGCCCTTCAGTTTAAGCCTGCCTCTAACAGAGTGGAACTTCACAGAGATGGAGTCCAACCTCAAATCAGTAAGTGTGAAAACTGTACACATGTGATAAACTACAGTACCTGCGATAGTATGATATACAGCAGAAAACAGTGTCATGCAGGACAACTTGATTTCAAATGCTTCAAACTACAGTAAAGACTTTTCTTCATGAAGTTGATATGGGGAAGATGTTGAAAATAGTTTTCTATCTAAACACAAGGAGCAACATTAGTTTTCATTTAAATCAGGAGAGACTTCATTAAGATTAGACTCCATGATGATCACTTCATGTACTCAGAGGGGTAATGAGGCCAACAGCAGGATAGGAATTCAATTTGTGTTGTGCCAATTTAATGGCTGGTTGCATGATTGGTAGAATCCGGTTGCAATATGAACAAAGTGCATGGTTTTGATTGGTAGAAATGATGCAGAGCTAATCTAATCTTTAAACCAATACAAAAAATGATCAAACCTTGTGCATATATCCTGCCCAATGATTACACCCTCTTGAAGCAGATAAAAACTCCTTGTAAGACATCCTGACCTTAATAATGCTGTACATCAGTGCTTCCCAAAGTGTGGGCCGCGGCCCCCTGGTGGGCCGTGTGGTTACTTCAGGTGAGCCGCGCAAAGGCCTCCACCAGGTATAAAAATAAAAAAAAGTATCACAATATGATTTACCATGAGCCAACTCTTTAAGTGATTAGTAAGGCTTGTCATGACTATTCATGGACATCATATCACATGATATTTTACTATCTGTTTAGTAAACTTTTGTGTCTATATTCGCATAAGATCATGTTGTCATGTCCAATATTTTACCCTTACTGAAAGTGGGAGCTGCAGTCAAAACTTTTATTTTATAACGGGCCCCGCAGTCATTTTATATTTCAAAGTGGGCCGCGACAGTCTTAAGTTTGGGAAAGGCTGCTGTACATGATACTCTATGAATAGCTTTTTCCTGAAATAGATTTTTTAATGAAATCTTTTTGTTATTACCAGTCACTTCAATTCGTGACTGAAATTAAATCAAATAGTTTTTAATGCAGCTTCAAAAAAAAAAAATACAGATACCAGTTTTCAACTTGATAATGTAACAGCACTAACAGTGACTGCACAACATTGCAAAAGGACATTGCTAAAAGCCCCCCCAACCCCTTCAGCTTAGTTTGTACTTTAAATGTCAGAGAGCCCAGTGCTAAACCTGCATGTTGACAATGAAGCCAATGATGTAATTAAAGTCCAATTTCCTGCCCACCCTGCCTTGAATATACACAATGTTAATGCTGATCAATCTATCTGTCATATTGTGGAGATTAAAAAGCCTTTAACGTGGCCCACCTTTTGAAAACTCCTGCACAACCACCAACAAGTGTTGCAGGAAGAGTACAAAAGACGTCCAGCAACAAAAATAAAAAAACATGGTGTCTGCATTTTAAGGATTTCATTTCAGAGCTAAGAGAGGTGAGGTAGGAAATTGTGCTTGTTAAGCAAAATGAAACAGAATGTCAAACTTTGTGTGTGACTCCTGCTGTGTGTAATGTCCTAATCCAGTGCTTCCCAAAGTGTGGGCCACGGCCCCCTGGTGGGTCGCATGGATACTGCAGGTGGGCCCCAAGGAGACATTTTCTTTGGGATTATATATAATATATAATAATATTTATAATATAAATATGTGATTAGTAGGGTATGTCATGACTATACACAGACATTATCTTCAAATTGTATTTTATTATTGATTCAAACTGGGGGGAAAAGTTGTTCAATTACTGAAGAATTTCAGTTTTTACACTTGCAGATAGGGAAAGGTGTTAAAGTAAGTGTATTGTTAAAAGCAAAAAGCTACAGAGTCATTGGAAAAACTGAGTAAATAAATCATGCACTCTCTCACCAGAGAGATTAAATATGGCGTCAGGAGTCTTCAGACATGTGTGGAGCGATGACAAGACTGCAAGCTTCTGCAAAATATTTCATGTAACAAAAAGGAATTGACAGGTTTTTATCATGTTTGAAATTGGTTATCAATGGCTTATTTGTTAGTTTAAACTCCCTAAACAGTAGTAGACAGAAATGTCCAGTCATTCTTTTAGTCTTTGGCTGAAGTTTTAAAAAAAATTGTTGTGAAGAAGAAGCTGGTGTTTGGATCTTTCTTCTTCTTCTTTTTAATTGTAGGGCGTATTCTGGTTTAGGAGCTATGATGACTTCATCATTAGGGAGAACAGTGGATAGAGTCTGAAACGGGGATGAGAGAGTGGGGAATGACAAGGGTCAGAGTGAAACCCGGGCCGCCTGCTTTGAGGACTAAAGCCTCTGTACATGGGCAGCCCGACACAACCGCTAGGCCATCTATCTTTTTATACTTAATTTCTTGTGCTTCTTTAAAAGTGGATTATTACTTAACAGCCACTCCTAAACACATACAAGGCATGACCATGCATCATCCAGTGCTGTAATTACCTCTTTAAAAAAGGCTGATTTATTTTTGTGTGATCCAAATAACTAATCCTAAAGAAAGCTAATTATTCATTTTTTCTATTTGGTTCTGTTTGTGCAGCTGACTGTCAGATCTGATAGTCCTTATTTAGAGTGTGTGCTGCTGTTTTATTTCCTGTTACAGTCTGTGAGTCTGTGTGGTGCCTTGTTTAATCTGCATGCTCTGGTCATCTATCATACATGTACATTCTGTTCCATTAACACAAAAAGAGTCCGAGCCAATCTTTAGGAGCTTTTGGGATCAAAAGTGAACTCTAATATCGGAGCTATCAGAAAGTATTATATTACAGTATGTTGTACCCTCTGCTCTCCCTCGATATACTCAAAATTCATCTTCTGACTTTCTCTGGCTAACTTTACATACTAAAGAAATCCCCCCCCCCCCCCATGCTCAGACATTGATGTCTTAGGTCTGTCTTTAAAGTGGTTCATTCAAAGGCAATTCCATCCCCTCTTGTATTAATGTCTCTCCAATCACAGTCCGGGGTCAAGGGAGAAACCATTCCTCTTTTCCCTTCTTCTTTGTGTTCCCTGCCTGTGCCCCCCCCCCCCCCCTTTATCTGTCTCTCTTCATCTCCGGCCTCTTCATAACTGCTGCTTTTACCCTTTCACCTCGCCATCCTCTCTGTTGTAGCTGGACTTCACTTCTATCAGAGAGACTATGCACTGTCAAGTAGCTTAGATATATTTGAATATCTTAAATGTTTAATATGCAGCATTTTAAAGATTCATATATCTGATATTTTATACATCCTAACTAAATATATTGTTATGTAATGACTTTCTATTAAAAAAAAAAGAAGAGTGAAGTCAAACTCCCCTGTGGGTTTGTTGTTCTCAGCTCTGAGTTCACACTGACTGGACAGTGATTCCTTCAGCTTGATTTTTGATTTGCTCAGAGACTCAAACATGTTTCATACATGTCTCCTTGGCCTGAACCCAGTGGTGATTCTGGCGTCTTTAACAGTCCCCAAACCCCTACTGGTCCGGGGCCCCAAGCAGCGGCCTGCCTTGTCTGTTGACAAGCAGTGCCTTTGCCTGGACCCCTCCCTTTCCAACTAACCCTGCCATGATCAACTGCAGGTGAACCAACAGAATGTCCAACCCAAGATCTTTGTCTGGTGTAAAATGCTTATATAAGAAATAAGAACATCTTTGGGCTGCATATCAGAAGGAAAATCCATCCTACAGACAGCCGTAGTGTGAAGGGAGGGGCGGGGAGTCGTTGCGCTCAGAGAGTTATATTTGGTCTGAGAGACTAGTGCTCAAGTGCGACATCTACTGGATTGAAAGTCATGGGTAACACCTGAAATTAATGTTAATATGCTTTTCAATTAACACTCAAAGGTTCCAAACACTAAAGACTGGACTGAATGCGCTCAAATCTACCTGGTTTATATAAAAACAAAATAAACTGTTTGGTTGGGCATGTGTATGTGGCTTAATGTGATGAATGATATTCTTTTGTTTAAAAAGAAGCTCGTTGTACAAGGTGCAAAGACAGTAGAGTCCTTCTAATTCTAATTCTAATAATAATCCTGAAGAGTGATACGGTTCATATCAGGTCAGAGATTTTCGGTGGTTGTGAACACATTGAGCTACGTTGGAAGATTTCAACATCATCAAAGGACAACAAACTTGAAGATGTCAGATTGTCCTGTCAGAGCTGGATGATTCTCTAGAACTTGAAGTATTAGTTTATTATTCGTTTAAATAACTTTAAAAAAAAACCCTAACCCTAGAGGGAGAGAGGGTGAGGGAGCATGCCATTAGACAACCAAAACTTAATTTGATCATCTGTTCAAATGTAATTAAGTTCACCAGTGAAGTCTTAAAGCAACACAGCATACTGCAACATCTGTTTACAGAAATCTGTCTTACCACTGCTCTGGTCAATAATATCTATAAATTAGTAAGAATATTTGGTTTGCAAATTGCTGTCAGTTTAAGAGTAAAATAATCTAAAAACATACTGAGCTGCTAAAACACTAAAATTAATGAATAACATCTGAATTTGTGGAGCAAAACAGGGAAATGCCCCAACCCTGACTGACTTCCTGTCGGGATGTCATCTTTTTTTCCAGGTTAAATCATTCCCTTAAAAAGAAATCTGTCCCAAAACAAGTCCATAACATAATCCTTCCCCCCCAGAAACCTTCACAGTTGAGATGGTGTTATTCGGAGGGAAAGCCTTACCCTCTTCCCCTCCACATATTACACTGATCACTGTGGCCTAACAGTTCTGTGTTGTCTTATCCAGGCAGAGAATCTCCCTCAAAAGGTTTTTGTCCCGGTGATCAGCAAATATTTATTCTTGTTTTTTTCTTGTCAATCTTAAAGTAGTGCTTCTCCTGTGAATTAAATCCTTTAAAGCCTCGGCAATGAAAGATGTTCTTTGAAAAAAGCCCCCAAAAAAAGATTGACTGAGCACAAATGCTCAACTGTTTGTTATCAAATCAAAACTGAGCAATTTAAGTACTGAGCGTGTGTGTGTCGTGTTCTCCATCCACAGTACATGTTCCAGAACCAGGAAGCCGAGGCCTTTCCACCGACCAGCTGTGAGGAACAGTGATCAATCTTTGATCATCTTTTCTAAAGGTGAGAATAACCTCGCTTGATTGTAGTGTGAATTGGTCATTGTAATAACAGTTGAAGGTCATTCTTATAGTCATACAGAGTTAGGTCAGTAAATGATGAGACTGATGACAATATGGCAACAAACCACAAGATCTTTCCTCAAGAGACAAGAGCCTCATTCCTGCTGATTTATCCTCATATGGGGTAATAATGAATATTTCCAGCAGCAGCAGGATTAGTGTATGCAGGACTAAGTCAGGTCAAATTTTAATTAGTGTTTGTGATGCGTTTTGGACAGCAAAGCATCATGGGATATGTCTGGTAAAAGAAACATTTCCTACACCAAAGAAGCACTCCTTAAAAACAGCTTATTTATTAGAGATCAACCCATCTGTTTTTTCTGGAAAGTCACATACTACTTGGTAAAAAACATGATGTCATTGCCGTGGTAACAAACATTACACAGATGCTTTTAGACAGGTGTACAATTCTCATTTGATTAGCGTTCAAGTTCCCATGGAACAGAGCTTCAGGAGCATCCAGCCACGGTGAAGTATTGAAGTATTTCCACTAAATACAGATCGAACCTATCACAAGATTGAAGGTGGGACATAAAGTTGGGATGAAATTGATTGGGTCGTAAGCGTCGACAAAGCTTTTTAACTGGTCGAAAAATGAGCAACGCCTCTGAGTGCAGGATGAGTCTTTAGACAGTTGTAACATTTTACAGGAAGATAAACTACGCTTATTTTGATGTAAAAAATACTCAGCTAATAATGTATTTAAATATATTTTGACATCAATAGCCGTATGTTTGGACAGTTGATGATTACTATAATCCCTTAAACTTGACTAAAGGCCAAAAGGAGTGCCAGTCTATAAATCATAATCGGTTTGTTTGGTAAGACAAAAGGCATGTAATAAACCTGAAAAAGACTGACAGACAATGATACCCACGAGTGCACAATCCACATGTGGCCGTTGAATAGAGATGAATGACGGTCTAAAGCAGTGTATTTATGTTTCTCCGACCAGCGAAAGAGGTCAACAGTAAGCAAACAATACAGGAAATTAAACTACAATTCCCAAGGACCCTCACTCCATATCATTACTAAAAATACAAATGGTTTCTTTGACTAAAGTTTGTTGTATTGAAGTTTCTTGGAGCACAGATTGCCAAGCGGTTAGGTCCCGCCCCATATATGGAGATTAATTCTCCAAGCAGACGGCTCCGGTTTGAGTCCAACCTGTGGCTCCTTTCCTGCATCTTGTTCCCCAAACTATCTCCCAGTTTTTCCTTCTCCCAAGGCTGAAAGTCCTGAAATAAATCTTAAATGTTTAATATGTGATTGTCACACTTAAATGTAATATAAATCAAGTCTATCCTCTGAAAATAACTCTGTGAGTCATGACTGTCTACAATGGGTGTAACACCCGAGTCCCACTGTCTGTGATGTTTTCAGAGTTTTCAGAGTCCTATCTTCACTTTGTTTACATCGCCGGGACGGCCGGCTGACTCCTCCCCTCGAGTATAAAAGTTGTTTAATTGAGGGACTAGAGAAAAGAAGAATAACATACTGTACTCACTACTTAACTGTGTTTCTAGATCATGCTCATTTCAGGTAAATTTACATGCAGTGTGAAGATACAAGCATAATAAAGATCGCTAGCATTAGCATGCTAACACAACAATGCAGCGCATTTAAAGCCTTAATAATAATAATGATAATAATATTAATGTTTTATCTTTAGTGGGTTATTGACACTTAAATCTGTTTTTGTGTAGAATCATTTTTGTAGTTTTTGTCCATTCTTGTTACAGTGTTTTCATGTTAAGAAGAGATCACACTATTAGTATGGAGAGGTGGATGATTACAGTAAATATATAGTGTCAAAGGTTAATGAATCTATGATCCGACACATAAAATCTAATTCATGTCTCTCCTCAGGGCCACAGAAGCTGCCGTTTCCCCTCCTTATTACTCTCTCGGCATGAGCTGGATCCCCCCGGCCCTGCCCGGCTGTTTCCAACACGTGGCTTTATTTATTTTCTTCACATTCATGTAGCTACATCATGCAGCATTGAAAACAAGCCTGTTTTCTTATATTTTCTGCTTGGAGACTGACAGTGGATCCATTATCTACTGGTTCCTTTGGCCGTAAACACCGACACTGGTCTTTTCTCAAGTTTTTCATAGTTAAACAAATGAAGTGCGTTCTGACATTATTATATATCGCCTCCAATAATAAGCCAGCTGGATGCAGACGGTGCATTCTTGGCTCCAGCACTTTAGTCTTTGTGTGAGAGGGAGTTCCTGCTTCTGGAAGTGACTATTTCTTCCTTCTCTATAAAGAATTTATAACGGATGTACCAATTCATACTTTTGCTATCTTATCCTTATTACAAACATACTGTATCTGTATCAGAGAGAGACTGGCATGAAGTTAAGGGCCAATGTAGCATACTGTATATTACAATTTATATGATTTTTATTTGGTCAGTGTAAGATTGTAGACATTTTAAGGGCTTATTAATGCATTTTAAATGACGATAAATGTGTCCAGACAGATCAGAGGTGAGTTAGCTTTTTGTGAAATCTGTTAAGAAAAACTTTTCAAAACGGTCGTTTTGAAGCATATCATGATATGAGGCTACCAACACTCAAGAACTCATCTAATGTATCTTTGCACAGGCCTGACATGTAGCCCGAGACTTAGAGGAACTTCTCTTCTGTCCATTTAAATGTGAAGTTTAGAGGAAATATGAAAAGATAGACTTCTCATTTGATAAAACCATGAACACCACTGCATTTTTGCACAATGTGTGTCATTAGCTCTAGTGTTAATTTCTGTTTGTAAATAAAGCAGCTCTTGTTGCTCAAGACATGCATGTGTCTTAAAGAGATACTGGCCTCAATTACAGGGTTTTCCAAAACTCACAAAGGACAAATACAGTCTATAATGACATTTTTGTTTGACGTAGGATGAATGTAAAGGCCCCCAAATGCAAAATCTGAAAGAAAAGGACAGAAACAAACAAACAACACTAAGCTGCCGAGGAGCCAGTCTTTTAAAAGAGAGAATTTATCACGGTGGAGTGGTTTCATTAAACGTATGGTGAGGTGGTGACTTGAGAATTTGATCACTTATAGAACAATGAAAACCTGCTTGAAAATGCATTTAAATTCTCTGGACGACTTAAAAAAAACATTACAAGCTTTAACAGAAAATGACATTAAATTTAAAATATGGTTTTATAGTTATTGGTTGCAACAATGAAAAGACAAATTCATGGGAAACTTACTGGAGATGAGTTGAATTGTGCAATACTGTACAGAACTGTGAGGATCTCGAAATTGCAATACATGGATGACCATAGGAATGTAGGTATAAGTTAATGTGAGTGGTGGACTTGGAAAAAAACTGCAGAAAGATGCACTGAAGAAGGACAATGAGAGCAAAAGCCCTGCAAGCCCTTCACACTGACACCGAAACTGGGGGGAAAGAGAATGTGTTGACATGGAGACAATAACAATTTAAGTGTTTTAACATGTTCGGAGAGGATATATTCTCAGAAAGAGTTTCTTAAAGATCACACATTATTCTCCTTTTCAACTAATTTAAACTAAGTTTCAAAGCTCCCTAAAACTTGTCTGTAAAGTTTCTTGCCAAAAATCCTATCTATCTATCAGCCCTTCTCAGAACAGGCTGTTTCTGTGACTGTAGCTTTAAATGCAAATGAGCTGTGTTTGACCACGCCCCCTTTCTGGAAAGGGATGTGACTCAGGCTTTCTTGAACCATGTTCTATTGTTCTATCTGAGAAGGCAGACTCAGAGGGCAGAACAAACACCTATCTGTGGGAGTGTCACCCACCTGGGGGAAGGGTTACTGCCCTTTGTGATGTCACAAAGGGAAAATCTCAAAACGACCTGTTTGAGCACACATTTTTTGAAAAGTGGAGCAGCCAGAAGACGGAGAGGATGGACTTTTCTCATCATTAGAGGGGTTCTAGACAGACTAGGGACACATAATTGTGTTAGAAAAACATGGTATTATGTATTTTGCATAATAGTGACCTTTAAAGAACTGAAGAACATGTTCATTACGTCTTATTATTATTGCCTCTGTAGGTCAAACACTTTTCGACACGGGGCTTCCTTCTCAGTGCATGCTTCAGGGAGGAAGCAGGTAGTGGTGAAATTGCACTAAAAAATCACAGTTGTATGAGTTTGAGAGTATTTTAGACATTGCTCCTATTCTTGTTCCTCATGATAATATGAGTGTTTATGATTTTATTGAAGGATTGATGAAAATATACATTCAGTTGCTGTTGTGTTCTTAAATTATTCTTATTCTTTTAATCATTTGCACTGGAAATGAATGAATGTGTGTTGTTTCAATGACATTTATGCTTGTCAGAATTGCAAATGGATAAGGATGTATTGTTGTTAAATGAGTGAACAGATCTCTGCTGTAACGAAGCCTGGCAATTCCAAAGACATTTCTGCACTGAGAACGGTGTCTATAGTACATCAACATTTAAATGCATCACAACATGCTGCGTGTAGCATCAGAAGAGAGACAGAGAAACCCTTTCTCCTCCCAGACACATTTTAGTGCTAAGATGTTTTTTTGAAAATGGGTTGTGACCCAATGAACATGTGAACTGTTTTGAATTAATTTTGCAAAGGCTAAAGTGTATTGTAACAGAGACTTGAATAACATGTATTCCAAATGTATATGAAATATTTAAGTTGTAAAAACAAATAAAGCTCTATAAAAGATGTTACACTCTTTGTGTTATTGTCATTGTGTGAGCACCTGACTGTAAGCCTCTTCCAACACCTTCAATCTACTTTTAAAAAGATTTAAAGAAACCCGCTCCCCAAGACACAGATCATCCTGCAGGATATCCAGGCTGCAGGAGCAACGTACCTGAAACTCCTTTTTCCTATTTCATGACGCACTTTGGGAACAGACAACAACAATATGTT